GATAAGTGGCAAGTGTACAAGTCAAACCATCCATGACATCCATTTGGGGAAAAAAAAAAAAAAAAAAGTACCTGCCTGCCTGGTCTGTTTTCAAAGAGTAGACCCGGGGAAGGGGAAACAGACATTCTTTTGAATGTGGCCTTGATTTTGCAACTGCCTCATTTCAATCAATTACTCCAGTCATAACCTTTAATACTGGATCACTGAGACTGATTGTCTAAGGATGTGTTGTGAAAGTGGACTTTGCATGACAAAGAACATTTGCATTGCTTTTTAGGTGCACAAAAGAAGTGCCAAATACCTTTTGGATCTCGCATGTTTTATTAATCAATGCTAAATTGTATCTTGGCTCATAACTGTACAAATAGTTTAAGGCTATTCAAGGATTTGTATAGTGAGACTTATTATACATATGCTTATGCTTTTCATTTTTATGCCCCCACCGTAACGGTGGGGGCATTAAGTTTTACCCTTGTCCGTCTGTACGTACTTCCCAAAATTGGTTTCCATTCTCTAACTTGAGTTTGCCTCAACCAAATTAATGAAACTTATACACAATGCTTATTACCACAAATCACAGATAAAGTTAGAATTTTGGTTGTGTCACTTTAACCGTTCTAGAGTTATGCCCCTTTATAAATGGAAAAATTTAAAAATTTTAGTTTCTGTTCTCTAACTTAAGTTTGCCTCAACCAAATGTTATGAAACTTATACACAATGCTTATTACCACAAAACACAGATCAAGTTTGAATTTTGGTGGCGTCACTTAAACCGTTCTAGAGTTATGCCCCTTTATAAATGGAAAAATTGCAAAATTTTTATTTTCTTCTAAATATCAAGTAATTTTTATATGACCGCAAAAAATTTTTTGTATATTGGTATCACGTTGTCATCGTCGTCCGAAGACAGTTGGTTTCCGGACAATAACTTTAGTATAATTAAATAGAAATCTATGAAATTTAAACACAAGGTTTATAACCACAAAAGGAAGGTTAGGATTGATTTTGGGGGTTATGGAATTAGGGGCCAAAAAGGGGCCCAAATAAGCATTTCTTGTTTCCAGACAATAACTTGTGGAATGGTGTATGGATCTCTCTGAAATTATACCACAATGTCCAACCCATAAAGGGATGGTTAGGATTTGCTTTGTGGGGTTATGGCTCAAACCGTTTAGGAATTAGGGGTAAAAAAGGGGGAAAAACAAGGGTGTCCTGGTTAATGGACAATAACTTTAGTACAAAACATAATTTAAAGCAGTGTAAGGGAGGTAATTCAATACATCATTTGAATTACCTCCCTTACACTGCTTTAAAATTATGTGTAAAGAAATTGTTAATGGGCAATTACTTAAGACAATTTAAAAGCAGTGTAAGGGAGGTAATCCAAACACACAATGTTTTGATTACCTCCCTTACACTGCTTTCAAATTATGTTTAAAGAAATGCATATATACAGTACCATTCAAACGGACCAGCTCTCCCACACCCTACACCACGGAAAATTTGGGTGTGAATCCGAGAAACTCCGATATTCCTCCCAAAATGTTGGGAGGAATTTAGGAGTAATATCTCCCTAAATCTTGTAAATGTTAATTGTGATAGCGAGCTCACTCCCAACACCGAGGAATTAATTGCCTTAATCCTACTTTAATCTATGCCGGCACACGACTGATAGGGTAATTGGATTACCTGATGTAATAAACAAATATATTTCCGGTCTACTGTTCCAGTTTAAGTGTCAAACAAGTGTATAATTTTAAATGTCTTTTTATATTGGTTAAGTTTAATTTTTGTGTTAAAAATAAGTTAAAATATTTTCGTATTTCTTGCTTGCTAATCTAAAAATATCTTTACCTATATGGACTTGCTTGTTTAAAAAAACGGACATTACCGAAAAAGGTTTATAAAATTTTGTAGAAAATGTGGAAAAAAACGCGAAATTCTACTTCAAAGCTGAATAAATGTGAGCAGTTTAAAGAAAATTACGTGTCTCAAAGTTTTGTATATGCAAGTAAAAAAGAAAATATTATTCACCATTCGTTATGCTTAATAAGTCTACGGCATTTTCTTTTTAAGATTTGTTGGCATTACTTTAGGATAATAATACATTTCGGCTTCAACAGGAATACATGTACTTCCACAGTTGCATTAACTCGTCTTTGCATAATATTTATTTACACACAATGAATGTAAACTTGTGTGTTGTATTTTGGACAGTGATCTTAAAATATTTTAAAAGAAATTAATTTGCCGTTGGAAGACAATTCCATGATACATATCTCAGTGATCAACAGTGTGTGGTTGAACTAGAATTTGACTTCGCTCACAACATTGCACAATATTAAATGCTAAAAATAGCTGACATCAATTTTATCCACAGTACAAGATTTTTATATGGCGGGAAATAATATCATGTACCCGCAAACTCAGGTGACCTCTCTGAGCGACCGTGGGAAAATACATTTAGGTTTTTATACGACCGCAAAAAAGTTTTGTGATTGTATATTGGTATGACGTTGTCGTCGTCCGAAGACACATTGGTTTTTGCACTCTAACTTAAGTTTAAGTGAATGGATCTCTATGAAATTTTACCATAAGGTTCAATACCACAGAAGGAAGGTTGGGATTGATTTTGGGGGTTATGGTACCAACAGTTCAGGAAATAGGGGCCAAAAATAAGCATTTTTGTATCTTCCAGACATAACTTGTGTGTTAGTGTATGGATCTCTCTGACATTATACCACAAGTTTCCATATCACAAAGGGAATGCTGGGATTGATTTTAGGGGTAATTGTCTCAAAATTTTAGGAATTAGGGGCCAAAAAAGGGGCAAAAAACAAGCATTTTTCTAGTTTCATGATAATAACTTGTGTGTAAGTGTATGGATCTTTCTGAAATTGTACTACAAGGTTCCATATCACAAAGGGAAAGCTGGAATTGAGTTTGGGTGTAATTGCCCAAAACATTAAGGAATAAGGGGCCAAAAATAAGCATTCTTCTAGTTTCCAGACAATAACGTGTGTTCAAGTGTATGGATCTCTCTGAAATTGTACTGCAGGGTACCATACCACAAAGGGAAGGTTGGGATTGAGTTTGGTGGTTGATGAATCATAAGGGGGTTCAAAAAATTTGGGTGAGGGATTTTTTTTTCCTTTTTTTTTTCTTTAAAATTTTCCATTTTAAATTGGTTATTTCTGATTTATATATAAAAGCAAATAATAATTATATGGTTTGAATAGGTAAATTAAATTTTTTTAAGTTCTTAGACCACATTCATTCTGTGTCAGAAACTTATGCTGTGTCATATACTTTATCACAATCCAAATTCAGAGCTGTATCAAGCTTGAATGTTGTGTCCATACTTGCCCCAATTGTTCAGGGTTCGACCTCTGCAGTCGTATCAAGCTGCGCCCAGCGGAGCATTTTATTAAAGTTGCTTTGTATTAATGATTGACATTTTTGTGCGTTAGTATTAAGGCTCTAGAAGGTCCTTTTACAATTGATTAACCGGAACCAAATATATAATTCGTTTCTGAATAAACAAACACACGTCTTCTTTAACTTTTATTATACGACCGCAAAAATTTTTTGCGGTTGTATACTGGTATGACAATGGCGTCGCCGTCGTCCCAAGACACATTGGTTTTCGTAAAATAACTTTAGTTTAAGTGAATGGATCTCTATGAAATTTTACCATAAGGTTCAATACCACAAAAGGAAGGTTGGGATTGATTTTGGGGGTTATGGTGACAGTGTATAGATCTTTCTGAAATTATACCACAAGTTTCCATACCACAAAGGGATGGTTAGGATTTGCTTTGGGGGGTTATGGCTCAAACCGTTTAGGAATTAGGGGCAAAAAAGGGAGAAAAACAAGGTTGTCCTGGTTAATGGACAAATACTTTAGTACAAAACATAATTTAAAGCAGTGTAAGGGAGATAAATCAAATACATCATTGAAATTATCTCCCTTACACTGCTTTTAAATTATGTATAAAGTAATGGTTAATGAACAATAAAGATAATTTAAAACAGTGTAAGGGAGGTAATCCAAATACAACGTTTTGGTTACTTCCCTTACACTGCTTTTAAATTATGTTTAAAGAAATGCATATTTATAAAGGAAGACCAGTAAAAATATCTGCAAATGTTGCATCTTTTTTTTTTACAAAAAAATCCATATGAAAGATTTGACACTATATTTTTAATTCTATTATAAAATAGATTAAGTTAGCACTATGGTAAATTTAAATGGGTAATTATGGTTGCCAACTCCATTGGAAATTTGAATTGAGATTATGACCATATCTTGAGGGAAAGAATTTTTTGGGGGAAAAAAGGGGGGGGGATAAAAAGAAATTGTTGGGGGTCAATTTTTTCTCATTTCAGATTTCAGAAATTAAGAAGAATTATTCTTCAAATATTATTTTTTTTTCAAATTTCAAATATTGAAAAATTTCAAGAAGTAATCTTTAATTGCACAGTATGGCGCATTAGATTTGTAAAATCTTTGATCACATTTATTTATTTGTTATGCCGAATCTAAACATGTATTTAGATTTTTGATTTTTGGCCTAGATTTCAAGTTGGTCCAAATTGGGGTCCAAAATTAAACTTTGTTTGATTTCAACAAAAATTGAATAAATGGGATTCTTTGATATGCTGAATCTAACCATGTATTTAGATTTTTTATTTGTGGACCCCGTTATCAAATTGGTTCATATTGAGGTCAAAAGGGTCCAAAATTAAACTTTGTTTGATTTCATCAAAAATTGAATTATTGGGGTTTTTTGATATGCCAAATCTGACCGTGTATTTAGATTTTTAATTTTGGGTCCTGTTTTTTAAATTGGTCTTCATTGAGGTCCAAAGGGTCCAAAATTAAACTTAGTTTGATTTTAACAAAAATTGAATTCTTGGGGTTCTTTGATATGCTGAATCTAAACATGTGTTTAGATTTTTGATTATGGGCCTAGTTTTCAAGTTGGTCCAAATTGTGGTCCAAAATTAAAATTGTTTGATTTCAACAAAAATTGAATATATGGGGTTCTTTGATATGCTGAATCTAACCATGAATTTAGATTTTTTATTTGTGGGCCCCGCTATCAAATTGGTTCATATTGAGGTCAAAAGGGTCCAAAATTAAACTTTGTTTGATTTCATCAAAAATTGAATTATTGGAGTTCTTTGATATTCCAAATTTAACTGTGTATTTAGATTTTTAATTTTAAGTCCTGTTTTTAAATTGGTCTACATTAAGGTCCAAAGGGTCCAAAATTAAACTTAGTTTGATTTTAGCAAAAATTGAATTCTTGTGGTTCTTTGATATGCTGAATCTAAACATGTGTTTAAATTTTTGATTATGGGCCCAGTTTTCAAGTTTGTCCAAGTTGGGGTCCAAAATTAAACTTTGTTTGATTTTAACAAAAATTGAATACATGGGGTTCTTTGATATGCTGAATCTAACCATGTATTTTGATTTTGGACATTGGACCATAATAGGTAAATTAAAAAAAATTCAAGTTCTTAGACCACATTCTTTCTGTGTCAGAAACCTATGCTGTGTCAAATATTTAATAACAATCCAAATTCAGAGCTGTATCAAGCTTGAATGTTGTGTCCATACTTGCCCCAACTGTTCAGGGTTCGACCTCTGCTGTCGTATCAAGCTGCGCCCCAGCGAAGCATTTTATTTTCTTGGAAATGACATCACCAAATTTGTACTTACCAGTACATGATCAACAAGACAGGTGCCACATGTGGAACAGGATCTGCTTTACCCTTCCAGATGCACCTAAGGTCATCCCCAAATTTTGTTCGGGTTTGTGTTGCTTTAGTATTCTATGTTGTGTTTTGTTGACTGCTGATTGTCTTTTTGTCGTTTTTCCCTAACATTCTGCAAGTTTATTCACAGTGTTGAGCATGTTGAGAAAAGTATCATTTTTTTACATGTACGTTGTAACTACTTGGGGTAAAATAGTCTAAAATCAACAAGTTTGCTGTGAAATGACTAAGTGCTGAGGATAAAATGACTTTAGCATGTCAGCAATGTCAGAACAGAAACACAAATGTAAGAAAAAAGATAATACTTACATTGGACAGAAAAGCTGTCTGTGATATTATAACCCCACTCAAAAGGAAGGGAAAGCCTACTAATTTTACTCTATCCCATTATCCATCCTATTAAATTTTCGTCTCATTTTACACATGTCTACAAATTAAAGCTTCCTGAAATTTAGTAGCAACCTTCAAAGTTCATATGATCATGCTTGATGTATACTGTGGATATGTTTACACATTCATCACACATCAACTTCCTATGAAGGTAACACTTATATTTTCTTATCTTACACATAATAGCCATGTATCTTCGTGTTTTTCTCAATATTTATCAATGAGAGCTTCCTGAAAATCGATATCAAACTTCATGTGAGCATGATATACAGTACTGTGTGATGCCTTTTAACATCCATTTCTCATAAATCCGACTGACAATAATTATAGCAGAGTATCATAAATGAGCAATAGCACAGAGTTCATCTTGCTAGCCTTCATCAACTGCAAAGCAGATTACATTTTAACATAATTTTTATGCTTGTGTTGCTCAACTTGTTAAGGACACGTCACCCCTTAGACCACATTTTCACATGATTTTTTTAGTGCAAAAAGGGATGGTGGATCATCTTGCTAAATATATGCTTTGGTGAATATGTTTTATGTTCCAGTAGATTTTTATATTTATGTGATATATGTATTAATGAACTGAATTTTGACATTTAAAAAATCTTTTTCAGAAAAAATCTAGGTCAAAAACCTCAAAGACAAGTCAGTCAAAATTAGCAAATAAAAACCATAATCGATTAGCAAAACAAGGAAAATTGAAGAAAAGAAAAAAGAAGGATAAAGATCAGCAAAGCCAGAATGAAGAAAAATTACATCAAAATTCAGGAAAATTACATAGTCAAGTAGAACATTATAGTGGAGAAGAAGACCAGTTAAATCCAGAAGATGAAGAATTTTATGGAACTCCAGGGCAAACCAGTTTTGTCAGTGCTGCACAGAAAAGGTACTGCACTGTTTACTTGTATTTTGAATATGATGTAACATTATATGTAAAAAAATCTACTGCAAAAAATATTTCATAGATACTTGAATAAACTCACAAGTGGTCAATTTTTCAAATGAAATACAATTACATATATTGTAATTAGTCTGTCTGTCCCTCAGTCCATCTGTCAGTCCGGCAAATCAGTTTTTCAGACTTTTTTTTCTTCGTGCTTGAAGATATTGGTTTGATATTTGGTTTATTGTTTTATCATGACAAGTTACAGGTCAAGTTCAATTTTCACAATTTAAGCTTTTCTCTTTGTTCAGTTAAAGCCCTTTCCCTAGAATTAAATTTTGATGAAATACTTATTAATTAGTAGAGTTCTGTTCAAAGGGAAATTACTCATTTTTAAAAAAAATTAAAAGACAAAATGACATTTTGGGATTTTTTTCCTTGTCTTTGGTAAATTGAAGAATTTAGTGGAAGTTTGTTTGTCATTCTTGAAGATATTGATTTGATAATAAGTATATAGTTTCATTTCAATTGATATTTTATAGTGTGTCTTTCTGTTGTGTTGTTACACTATTGTTTCAGATAGGGTGAAGGTTTGGTACCATTAAGACGTTTAAACCTGCTGCAATTGTTTGCACCTAAGTCAGGAATCTTATGTTCAGTAGTTGTCGTTTGTTGATGTGGTTCATAAGTGTTTCTCGTTTTTTATATAGATTAGACCTTTTTTTTCCCTGTTTGAATGTTTTTACACTAGTAATTTTTGGTGCCCTTTATAGCTTGCTGTTCAATGTGAGCCAAGGCTCCGTGTTGAAGACTGTACTTTGACCTAAAACGGTTTACTTTTATAAATTTTGACTTGGATGGAGAGTTGTCTCATTGGCACTCATACCACATCTTCTTATATCTATTTATCATGACAAGTTACAGATCAAGTTGGAATTTTGTTCTGGTCTGATGATTTTGTGCAGAGTCATGGTTTTTGGACATAGAAAATTCACTTAGATAGTCAGTTTTCAACAGTTTTTTTCGTCATGCTTGAAGATTTTGACTTGATATTTTTATCTAGTTGACACCATGACAAGTTATAGATCAAGTTAGAATTTCGTTCCATTACAATGAATTTTTAACCGGTGGGGGACTATGTATTGCCATGCAATACTCACAGAATGCTTGTTTCAGAAATTTTTGTGAGTTTTTTTTTATGAGAATAGTGTGACTGAGTAAGTATCGCAATAATTAGAACTTGCATTCTGATATCTGATACCTGTATGCAGACTTCCCTGAAATCGCAATAATTGATTGCACATTTTTGTCCATTCTTCATCAATCGCATTAATAAATGCACGCAATAATTTCAGAATTTACAGAACATGTAAGTAGTAGTTCATTTTGCCTTACATCTTTGGTTGAAGAAAAAGAGAATTTCAACAGGTGCCATAATTTTGATTTTGTCCAAAACTTTTTATCTTTTTGGGTGTGATTGCTAGTTTCATTATACTTAGATTGAGCACAGGTGACACATTTCTCTTATAACACTCTAATTGGATTCTACATTAAAATGCACAATAGACTAAGGGAGAGCCTTGGTTGGGCTTTACTTACGACTTTAAGTTTGTGCTGCAGAGTTCATTTTTAATTAGGTTCTGTTTGCTTGAATATTAGGCCAACTAAAATTAATTAGTAGATTTTCATCCAGATTTTTGAAAAAAATGGGGTGGGTGGGAGGATTTTATTTTTTAATTTTTATTTCCTCCGAAACACTTTTGTAATGTGTTCTTCATATGCAAGGGTAATAATAAGCTTATTTCATATAATTTTTTAAGTATATATATAAATATAAGTAGTTCTACATAATTTTTCAAATTCTTTAATAAATAATTCTGATTGGCAACCACTGTCCTACATGTACATTTGTAACTGCCACTTTAGAAACCTGTATTCAGTATAGAATAGTAAAAACGTTGAGAAATGCTCTTTTATAGACTACCTACATCAAATTTATTTTGCTTTCTATATATGAAGCTATGGTTTGTAGTGCCCATAAAATGAAGCATATGCATTGGTATGCAACACAAGTATTATGAATACAGAGAGAAATGAAAACATAAACTGTGTTGAAGCTTTTAAGATTCTTATGCAAGGTGCAAATGTAAAACATGAACTTCACCGAAAAGAAGAAATTGTTTAATGACTCTATTGAGGGACTGCGATCAGAGAGTTTTTGCTGTTTTTCAACAAAAAACGACAGCCTTGGGATAAATCTAAAGGCTTGCTAATGCTATGATACATTTTGTATGTTGGCCGACTTTTTGTAGTCAATATACCGTAATAAATTGCACAAGTTCGTGCTTGTGTCAATTTCTATATGGCAGTCATGTTTTAGTACTAATGTGTTCCACAATTCTTGCGCTTTGAATATCATTCACAGTCCAAATTTCATGACACAAAGTCATCGTATAAATAAAAAAAATCCACGGTTTTCTAATCACTGAAATTTGTGACATACAGCGATTTGCGTTCTTGGACATCGCCTATTACTGGTAACTCGAATATTTCATACCCGTCCCGTAATCAATCTATATTCTCAGAAGATGATTTTGTCATCAGAGAGCAGCAAAATATGCCAAATTAATAAATTAGGTTAAATTACGAAAGTAATTTTGATTATCAGGTCCTGTCCACATGGTCCATGATATATAAAAATATTAGACTGTAAGATCAAAGGGACAATGTACAAATTGGTAATAAATCATATTTTTAGGAATACAATCTGGAGGATATACTAAGCCTGCTTGGATAATCTCTAGCTCTTGGTTCGGTTTCAAGTTTAAGATTATTTAACAGGAAACACATATGATTTCACAATGAAAATATATGATATACTACGTCAACATATGAACTTATCCAAAAAACTGATTTTGACATTGATTTTTTTGGTCTAATAATTACGTATTAGTTGCTTTTTTGGTCCATTAATCATGGATTAGTTTACTTCAATTTCTGGTTTAAGAAAGTTTTGTGTGAAGCATAGATGAGATATAAATATTTTTATTTCACTTTAGAAAATATCAAGATATTAATTAGTGAAAAATCAAAAATGGTAATTGATAATAGAAGTTCAAATAATGATATCACTTTGATTTTGTAGTTCAGGGATAATGTTTAAAGTGCAAGAAAATTGAACTGAAGTAGCCCTTTTCAACTGATTTTTATACGACCACAAAAATTTTGCGGTCGTATATTGGTATGACGTTGGCGTTGTCGTCGTCGTCGTCCGAAGACACATTAGTTTTCGCACTATAACTTAAGTTTAAGTGAATGGATCTCTATGAAATTTTACCATAAGGTTCAATTCCACAAAAGGAAGGTTGGGATTGATTTTGGGGGTTATGGTACCAACAGTTAAGGAATTAGGGGCCAAAAATAAGCATTTTTGTTACTTCCAGACAATAACTTGTGTGTAAGTGTATGGATCTCTCTGACATTGTACCACAAGGTTCCATATCACAAAGGGAATGCTGGGATTGATTTTGGGGGTAATTGCCTCAAAATTTTAGGAATTAGGGGCCAAAAAAGGGGCAAAAAACAAGCATTTTTCTAGTTTCATGACAATAACTTGTGTTTAAGTGTTTGGATATTTCTGAAATGGTACTACAAGGTTCCATATCACAAAGGAGAAGCTGGATTTGAGTTTGGGGGTAATTGCCTGAAACGTTTAGGAATTGGGGGCCAAAAATAAGCATTTTTCTATTTCCAGACAATTACTTGTGTTCAGGTGTATGGATCTCTCTGAAATTGTACTGCAAGGTACCATACCACAAAGGGAATGCTGGGATTGATGATGGGGGTAATTGCCTCAATATTTTAGGAATTAGGGGCCAAAAAGGGGCAAAAAACAAGCATTTTTCTAGTTTCAGGACAATAACTTGTGTGTAAGTGTATGGATCTTTCTGAAATTGTACTACAAGGTTACATATCACAAAGGGAAAGCTGGGTTTGAGTTTGGGGGTAATTGCCCTAAACGTTTAGGAATTTGGGGCCAAAAAGGGGCCAAAAAACACATTTTTCTAGTTTCCAGACAATAACTTGTGTTCAAGTGTATGGATCTCTCTGAAATTGTACTGCAAGGTACCTTACCACAAAGGGAAGGCTGGGATTGAGTTTGGGGTGATGAATCATAAGGGGGTTCAAAAAATTTGGGGGGGGGATTTTTTTTTTTTTCATTTTTTTTCTTTTTTTCATTTTTTTTTCTTTTAAAATTATCCATTTTAAGTTGGTTATTTCTGATTTATATTTAAAAGCAAATAATAATGATATGGTAGGAGATACACACCAAACAGGATGTGTAAATTATTATATAATAAGTTTTGTTCAATAGCAAGAGATTTTCAATTGCACAGTATTGCGCAATAGCAAAAAATCTTCAATTGCACAGTATTGCGCAATAGCAAGAAATATCCAATAGCACAATATTGCGCAATAGCAAGAAATTGTCAATTGTACAGTATTGCGCAATAGCAAGAAATATTCAATTGCACAGTATTGTGCAAAAGAAGATACTTTGTATAAATTGCTTATTTCTTGACCAATTTCAATGGGGTTTTTTTTATTCTTGAATTCTTGGGGTTCTTTAATATGCTGAATCTAACCGTGTATTAAGTTTTTGGATTTTGGGCCCCATTTTTAAATTGGTCCACATTGAGGTCCAAAGGGTCCAAAAATAAACTTTGTTTGATTTCATCAAAAATTGAATTATTGGGGTTCTTTGATATGCCGAATCTAACCGTGTATTTAGATTCTTAATTTTTGGTTTCGTTTTCAAATTGGTCTACATTAAGGTTCAAAGGGTCCAAAATTAAACTTAGTTTGATTTTAACAAAAATTGAATTCTTAGGTTCTTTGATATGCTGAATCGAAACATGTATTTAGATTTTTGATTATGGACCCAGTTTTCAAGTTGGTCCAAATCGGGGTCCAAAATTAAACTTTGTTTGATTTCAACAAAAATTGAATATATGGGGTTCTTTGATATGCTGAATCTAACCATGTATTTAGATTTTTGATTTTTGGGCCCCGTTATCAACTTTGTCCACATTGAGGTCAAAAGGGTCCAAAATTAAACTTTGTTTGATTTCATCAAAAATTGAATTCTTGGGGTTCTTTGATATGCTGAATATAACCATGTATTTAGATTTTGGATATTGGACCATAATAGGTGAATGTCCAATTTAAAATTTTTAAGTTCTTAAACCACATTCATTCTGTGTCAGAAACCAATGCTGTGTCAAATAATTAATCACAATCCAAATTCAGAGCTGTATCAAGCTTGAATGTTGTGTCCATACAAAAATTGAATTCTTAGGGTTCTTTGATATGATGAATCTAAACATGTATTTAGATTTTTGATTATGGGCCCAGTTTTCAAGTTGGTCCAAATCGGGGTCCAAAATTAAACTTTGTTTGATTTCAACAAAAATTGAATATATGGGGTTCTTTGATATGCTGAATCTAACCATGTATTTAGATTTTTGATTTTTGGGCCCCGTTATCAACTTTGTCCACATTGAGGTCAAAAGGGTCCAAAATTAAACTTTGTTTGATTTCATCAAAAATTGAATTCTTGGGGTTCTTTGATATGCTGAATCTAACCATGTATTTAGATTTTGGATATTGGACCATAAAAGGTGAATGTCCAATTTAAAATTTTTAAGTTCTTAGACCACATTCATTCTGTGTCAGAAACCAATGCTGTGTCAAATATTTAATCACAATCCAAATTCAGAGCTGTATCAAGCTTGAATGTTGTGTCCATACTTGCCCCAACTGTTCAGGGTTCGACCTCTGTGGTCGTATCAAGCTGCGCCCTGCGGAGCATTTTATTATAGTTTGTTATGTTGTTGTACTGTTACACCACTGTACCAATTTAAGTGGTGGGTTTGGCGCCCTCAGTCAAACATGTTTAACCCCACCACTTTCTGTATATGTATGTGCCTGTCGCAAGTCTGGAGCTTGTAATTCAGTGGTTTATATCATACTTGATTTTATGCCCCTCCGTATCAGCCGGGGCATTAAGTTTTACCCATGTCCGTCTGTACGTCCGTCCATCCGTCTGTCCCAAAGTTGGTTTTCGTTCTCTTACTTTAGTTTGCCTCTACAAAATGTTTTGAAACTTATACACAATGCTTATTACCACAAAACACAGATCAAGTTTGAATTTTTGTGGTGTCACTTTAACCGTTCTAGAGTTATACCCCTTTATAAATGGAAAAATTGCTCATTTTTTAGTTTCCGTTCTCTAACTTTAGTTTGCCTCAACCAAATGTTATGAAACTTATACACAATGCTTATTACCACATAATACAGATCAAGTTTGAATTTTGGTGTCACTTTAACAGTTCCAGAGTTATGCCCCTTTACAATTGGAAAAATTCAGTGTTTCCGTTCTCCAATTTAAGTTTACCTGAACCAAATGTTATGAAATTTATACACAATGGTTATTACCACAAAATACAGATCAAGTTTGAATTTTGGTGGCGTCACTTTACTGTTCTAGAGTTTTGCCCCTTCTCAACCAAATGTTATGAAACTTATACACAAAACTCAGATTAAGTACAAAATTGGGTAGCGTCACTTTTATCGTTCTTCAGTTATGTCCCTTTATAACTTCATATGATATGCAAGCCGGGGCATCATCTGTATCCCATGGACATATTTCCCATTTTTATGCCCCCGCCGTAGCAGAGGGGGCATTAAGAGTTACCCTTGTCCATCTGTATGTATGTCCGTACGTACATCCCAAAATTAAATTCCGTTCTCTAACTTAAATTTGCCTGACACAAATGTTTTGAAACTTATACACAATGCTTATTACCACAAAACAGAGATCAAATTTGAATTTTGGTGGCGTCACTTTTACCTTTCTAGAGTTATGCCCCTTTACAAATGGAAAAATTGCTGAATTTTTTGTTTCTGTTCTCTTACTTTAGTTTGCCTCAACTAAATGTTATGAAACTTATACACAATGCTTATTACCACAAAACACAGATCAAGTTTGAATTTTGGTGGTGTCACTTCTAACGATCTAGAGTTATGCCCCTTTACAAATGGAAAAATTGCTGAATTTTTCGTTTCTGTTCTCTTACTTTAGTTTGCCTCAACCAAATATTATGAAGTTTATACACAATGCTTATTACCACAAAACACAGATCAAGTTTGAATTTTGTTGGCGACACTTTTACCGTTCTAGAGTTGTGCCCCTTTAGAGATGGAAAAATTGCTGAAGTATTCGTTTCTGTTCTCTAATTATAAAAAAGAAGATGTGGTATGATTGCCAATGAGACAACTCTCCACAAGAGACCAAATGACACAGAAATTGACAACTAAGGGTCACTGTACGGCCTTCAACAATGAGCAAAGCCCATACCGCACAGTCATCTATAAAAGGCCCCGGAATGACAATGTAAAACAATTCAAATGGGAAAACTAATGGACTAATTTATGTACAAAAAATGAACGAAAAACAAATATGTAACACATAAACAAACGACAACCACTGAATTACTGGCTCCTGACTTGGGACAGGCACATACATACAGAATGTGGCAGGGTTTAACTTAACAAATGAAAAAATTGCTGATATTTTCGTTTCCGTTCTCTAACATAAGTTTGCTTCAACGAAATGTTATGAAACTTATAAACAATGCTAATTACCACAAAACTCAGATCAAGTACAAATTTGGGTATCGTCACTTTTACAGTTCTTGAGTTATGTCACTTTATAACGTTATATGCAAGCAGGGGCATCATCTGTGTCCCATGGACACATTCCCCATTTATTTCAGTTATGGTTTTGTACATAAATCAGACCATTAGTTTTTCCCGTTTGAATGTTTTGCATTTGTCATTTCAGGGCCTTTTATAGCTTATTATGGGGTATGGATTTTGCTCATTGTTGAAGGCCAAATGGTGACCTATAGTTGTTAACTTCTACATCATTTGGTCTCTGGTGGAGAGTTGTCTTATTGGCAATCATACCACATCTTCTTACTTTTATATTTGTTGCAAAATGCAAATTCATCAAAAAATATTGGTTTCAGTATTGTTAACACCAGTAATATGACAGCTACATCAATTGGAACAGAAGTAAAAAAACTTTCATAAAGCCATTCCAAAAAGAATATGTGCAAAGTTAGGTGACATTCCTTGACTGTATTCACAAGGATGTTAATAGTGGGTAAAGTGAGGGTCAAATAGCCTTTAAAAATGGAAGGAGATTTGGATAGATCAAGATACACTTAATGGTCAGAACATCTACTATATATATGCATATGGTCTAAATGTTGTTCAAATGGTCCTTAGGTGTTTTATGTACTATAACTTTTAGATGCTGCCTAACCATCTATGAGTATGTAAAGAAATACATGTACAAACATATAATTTTAAATTGATAGCTGTAAGCAAGTATCCACTATATAGCTGATTGAGGATCAGGGCTTATAATCATATAACTTCTGAGCACCATTATCGTACTCTGATAATCGCACTCAGACTCAGAAATAAACCAATCAAAATGCTGGATATGATGTTTTAACCACAAATTTAGTACACTGAGTAGTGAGTACTGAGCAAAGTTTTATGACTGATTTATGATTGCGATTATGTAAATGATTTTCTTACTCAGACGCATAATTCAACCAATCAATATACTGGATTTGGTGTTTCAAACACCAATTTTGTACTCAAGGTACTAAGTAAAGTTTTATAACCTAGAGCCCTGGTCTTGAACCTACTCATACTTATAAAGGCAAAAGTGAAATAATCTTACATTGTCTGTATGTATAATGTATTACCTTTTATGAATTCATAAATTTATTCTAAAAATATGCTTATCAAAGGAATTGACATAAATCAACCAACTAAATGATAACAGGCTGCACATTATCAGAAAAAGACCAGAAATTCCTTGAAGAATTTCCTGTTAATGAGGCAGTCAGTTTATGCTTTAATTAAGTACCAAAAGAATGAATGTATAAATGTAATGGAATAAACAAATATCTGTATGCTCATCTCTTTTTAGATTTTCAAATGGGGAGAAAAGTGTTTCTAAAAGAAAAAGAACAGATTTTGAATCTGGAGAGATTTATGAGCAAGAGCCAAGGAAATTGTTTGCTGGAGAAAGTCAGCAGAATATGAAAGCCTTGCTACCAATAAAGACAAAGAAAGGAATTATTCCTCAGATGATTGAAGGTACAATTCATATTCAATTGACATTCAGTCAGACAGAAGGCTACTTATTCTATCACTTCCTGAACAAAAACAATTACAATTTTTTTATTTCATTGGCTCAAAAATCATCTTCTCAGAAACTACTTGAGAACAATTGAAAGGAAACTATGCATCATCATTTTTCAATAAAATATTTGTATGTGTTAAAAAAACCTATCACAATAAAAAAAAATATGTAACAATAAAAAATGGGCCATCAGATAAAGGGTGTTGTAATTCTTCTTCCTCTTGTTTAAGTTAGTAGCGATCCTTCAGTTTGTTGGAAGATTATTTCCTGGAAGTCGACTATAAAATTTGATTTATAATTTACAAGGTAACCAGAAAAACGAATGGCCCATTTTTTATTGCTACATATTTGTTTTTTTCAACAATCATTTCCACTTCCACTTTCACTGTAAGACAAGGTGTATGCATAACCATTTAATGAACATTACATATACTGTATATTCAGAAATTTTTGCATGCATTTATTTTTTGTGATTGTTGAACGACCAATGCAAAAAAGAGATTAATTTTTTCGATTTCAGGTAAAACTACATACAAATAATTCTAATTAACAATTTAAAATTGGAAAAACCCATCCTATTGCAATACACACAACAATATAAACATTGCTAAGAATTCTTTTACATAACTTTATTGTAATTGTGTGTAAATACTGTTTTTAAGGTCTCTTGGAATGATAAGTTAGAGTACACCTTCATTCTTTGGCCAGGGAAGGTCCCAAGACTGAACAAGTTCACAGCTCCTGTTTGCACTGGTGTTAAATGTTCCCACTTTATTACCTAATAATCTATAATCCTAAATATCTTACTCTAGGAGTTGGGGACAAATTGCAATCACCTTGTCCAACAAATTTTTTTATCACACTTTTCTCAAAAACTGTTATAAAATGGAATGAATTCATATTTGGTCAGTAGCTTGAGAGTGATGAGTTGTTGGAGGTTGCAATTCTGTAAATATAGACAATGCAATTTCCCATAGGAACTCCCTTTGCGGCTAAAACTGTGACACTTTTACTATGAAGTTTCATGAAAAATAATATCCTAGAACGGAAAGTTTATATGCACTACTATTTTTTTCAAAGGTCAAAATATAGGGCTGTGTGGCATATTTTCAACATTTATATGCCCTGAACTTCTAAGAGTTTAAACTTATACTAAAATTCTATACTACCCTTACCTCCATTTTTGGACCTCCTAAGAATTAAAATTTAGGCGCTACCATGTTTTTCTATACTGGTTACATTCCCAAGTGATGTCTCTATGAGATGAAACACAGAGATCATAAATGGGAACCAGTACGTTAACAAATTAACATATCTATGAATATTATATATCTCCCCAAAAGAGGCGTGGTTTGAGAAACAGCTGTATTTACAAAGTGCAACCTGGATACTTACTTCCTGTTTGCTAAGTCAATCTTTTATTTGTTGTTCTAGTAAAGTCAATAACAAAATTCTCTACAACCATATTGAAACCAGTGCCTTAGCTTCTTTGTCTGCTACATTACCGTTAGTCATTTATACAGCTATGCTACAATTGTCTGATTATTTATCCAACTATGCTACAATTGTTTGATTGTTTATCCAGCTATGCTACTATTGAATGATTGTTTATCCAGCTACCATTTTGTGATCTTTTAGCCAACTAAGTTCAGCCAACTAAGCTACCATTGTATAACTGTTTAACCATTTTCACTACCATTGCATTTACTGCTAACTTAGTTATGCTATCAGTTGTTAATCTAAACTTCAATGCCAAGTTTGACAATCATTAAAATTTTACCTATTTTACCACATTCTGAGGAGAGCGCATTATAATGTCATAAAACAGGGATCCCAGGCATTAATATCATTGGAGTAACTCATTATGATGATTTCTTTGGTTTTCTCTGGTGATAACAACTATAGTTAAATGTGTCACATCATTACAGAGACAAGATATAAAACAGTTTGAAGTAAATAATTTTTAGGTTAACTCAAGTAGCATTTTAACTAAAAGTCCCAATGATTAGCTATGGGAGAGAAAATTTATTGAAGATTGTGTTTAACTTAATTAAATTATTGTATTTTTTTTCCCTTATTTGAAAAATATTTATTTATTTTGTAAGAAATAGACAAACTTCAGCTAAAGATCTATTATAAATAGATGTTAAATTTTTACTTTTAAAATAAAAAAAAAGTTCAGGTAAAAAAAAAGAATGAAACAATGACATGAATTTATCCAAATCTTATGGTAATGATACAATTATGACCCCAAGTGGAAGAAAACATGTGATTGTTGCTGATCTTAAACTGCATTCCTGTAGGCAATTTAAAAACAGGTGAGCAACATAATGCTTCAGCATCCAGTATTTTGGCAAAACTATAATTTGAAAAAACTAAATGTAATCTTTGTTTATATGCTTTTACTTTTCAGAACCAAATGAAGAAACCTGTAATACAAGTGCAGACATGTTAGAAAGAGATACCATTATAAACCAGGAACCAAAACCCTTGCCACAATTATCAAATATTCAGCTTCTTATACAAAGAAAACACAACCTGCAAGAAAGGAAAAAGAAGATTGCCTTACTTGCGAGTGATGTGATAGAAAACCCTGAAGAAAATGTAAGATATGTTAAGATTACTTGTAAATATAAAAAGAAGATGTGGTATGATTGCCAATGAGGCAACTCTCCTCAAGAGACCAAATGACACAGAAATTTACAACTATATATAAAAAAGAAGATGTGGTATGATTGCCAATGAGACAACTCTCCACAAGAGACCAAATGACATAGAAATTAACAACTATAGGTCACTGTACGGCCTTCAACAATGAGCAAAGCCCATACTGCACAGTCAACGATAAAAGGCCCCGAAATGACAATGTAAAACAATTCAAACGAGAAAACTAACAGCCTAATTTATGTACAAAAATGAACGAAAAACAAATATGCAACACATAAACAAATGACAACCACTGAATTACAGGCTCCTGACTTGGGACAGGCACATACATACAGAATGTGGCGGGGTTAAACATGTTAGCGGGATCCCAACCCTCCCCCTAACCTGGGACAGTGGTGTAACAGTACAACATTAGAACGAACTATAAAAATCAGTTGAAAGAGGCTTAACTCATCAGATGGATAAAAATACAAATACTACAAATACAAGTGGATGTGGCCGGGTACTTGTACATCTAAACAACAAAAAGACACTAGATCTGAGAGTACTCGCAGTTACTGACCGCTAGTTCAAAGCCACTAACAACTTATAGAAAAAATCATGCATCTAAGACTAAATTATCAATCCGTACACATGCAACATCCAATGGATTTAGTGTAAAGACGTCATAAACAGTCAGAGAAAAACATGATCTTGTGCAATGCCAAGATACAGGTATCAACAGGTTGTAGATCCATGAATGTGTATATATATATAACAATAATATTTAGTTTGCTTTTAATTTACTGATAACAAAATCAATATTAGTACCAATAAAAACAGGTCACCGTACGGCCTTCAACAATGAGCAAAGCCCATACCGCATAGTCATCTATAAAAGGCCCAGAAATGACAAATGTAAAACAGTTCAAACAAGAAAACTAACAGCCTGATTTATGGTACATTTATGCTTAAATTATAAAGGGGGTCTCATGGGGAGGGGGGTCTGATCCCTGATCCCGCTTGTTGTTTTGTCCAATTCCCAAATCCTGCTTATCATTTTTTTAGTTTCCCATTTTCCGCTTATTACGGTTGACATTTTAATAGTCTCCTCACATGCAGAAATGTAGTTAACATTTACTGATAAGACCCCTGTAACTCTGTTTGACATATTACTTAGATCAAACATTTGGCGTTGAAAACCGAGCTAGATCGTGTACATCGATCAGATCCGGAAATGATCCAATTACAGAATTACAGAATAGTTATCCCTCCTATTGGTAGGCTACAAATGACTTATAACAATTGGCAAGAAAGAAGGGAACTGATAAATAGCTTACTGGTGTCGCAGATGTAAAGGAATGATGCAAAAACCTTGTATGTGATAAAGGTTGTCAGTGACTAGTTTAAGGTCGGTGGTTTACTCGGGGCATCCTGATTTCCTGTGCCTTTGAAACAAACTGTCATGAAATAATTTGAAGAAAATGACGTTAATTAGATGTGATTCACAAACAAAAAAGACCTAATCGTTGTTAGTGAAGGCGATAGTATACTATTCCATAATTTTCTCTCAGAGTAATGAACTCCTTTGTGTAATAAAATATCACTAGTTTGGGGAAAAACTTTGAATAATAATTTTACGACAGACGACGGACACAAAGTGATTGCAAACGTTCAGCCTAGCTAAAACCAGGTGAGCAAACTATGAAAAGGGTTTCAACCAAACCTAAGCACTTCTTTTCAATATACATTGTATTCATTTTCAGATGAAGAAATTACGAGAGTTAAGACTGATGTTAGAAGAATGTGAATCAGATGCATACATAACAGTAAAAAAACTTGTGATGCTATCGCTGATGGAGATATTTAAAGATATCATTCCTGGCTATAGAATACGTCTTCTTACAGAAAAAGAAAAAGAACAGAAGGTAAAAAACATTTTTTTCAGGACTATTTTACTAGGCTAGCTATTTTTGTCAGTACATGTAGTTAATTTCAAAATTAAAATATTTGGTAAGTCTCATAATTTAACTTTGAAAATTAGACGATTTTGAGTCTATTTATACGTACAGTGTGTTAAAATTTATATGCTGGTATTTTCCACCACATCTATGATAGTTAAGCCAACAATACAACTAATATGTGTCATCCCTCTGGAAATTTGTGGGAGTATCACAATATCTTCCAAAAATTTGTAAATCTCCCTCTGTATATAATATACCAATATCCTGACAGGGAACTCAATACTCCCTCTGAATATATACCAATCTCCTGGCTGGGAATTGAAATCTCCCTCTTTGGAGAAAAAAATCTACACTTTTCTCCTGTCGTCACCATTTTAAAAAAAAAATTATATAAAAATAAGGAAATGTGGTATGATTAGTTGTTTTTTTTACATAATATAGAGTACTCTTACTTTTTGTCATTTTGTCTTATCTAAGTCATAAGAATGTTCAATGTAATATATTAAAACTATAAACCATGCTACAAAGTAACAGAGGCTTATAGATTTTGACTTGTCCGTCAGTCACTTTTGCTTATGGATGCTTACTGGAATACTTTTTGTCTCACCTGCCACGAAAGTCACAGATACATAGGGATAACTATCTGGCAGCGGGGTGAACTCTTTGTATAAAGTTTTTTGTTTAAGAAGGTAGAAGACCCGGATGCTTCATACCTTAAGCTTGTATGCAGATGCCTTATGTTATGAAGTTTCCATCTGTCATATGTCCCTTGTCTTTGACCACATTTTTTCATGGTTCAGCTTTTGCTTGAAAAAAAAAGTTTAGTAATTTTGTCATGTAAAATACTCACTTATGATAGGATAACTATAAAAATATTTTTTGGTATACCAGGTAAAATGGGATCGACAAGGTCAACATGTTCTTCAGACAGGGTTCACCTGACCAAGACCTCATTTCATGGATCAGTGATCAAGGTTAAGTTTTTGGTGGTCAAGTCCGTATCTCTGATACTACAACAATAGTTCAACTATATTAGGTGTATGGATAGATTGTAAGGTGTACATGTCTGACTGGCAGGTTTCATCTGACCTTGACCTCATTTTCATGGTTCATTGGTCAATGTTAAGATTTTGTGTTTTGTTCTGTTTCTCAGATACTATAAGTTATAGATCTTCTGTATTTAATGTTCAATTTCATGGTTCATTAATCAATATCAAGTTTTCACGGTTATGTCTGTTTCTCTGATACTATGAGCAATAGGTAATGATGGGTCAACTGTATTTACTGTATCAAATGATTGCATGGTGTACGTGTTGTCTGTCAGGGTTCATCTGACCTTGATCTCTTTTTTTGGTTCATAGCTCAATATTCCATTTTCATATTTTCATAATTAATTCTGTTTCTGGAATACTATAAGCAATAGGCTTTCTAAATTTGGTGTATGGTATTATTATTATTAGGTGTGCATGTCTGTCTGGCAGCATTCATCTGACCCTGACTTTGAACATAAATTCAATCATAAGTAAAGCAGGCAAGACCTGTCAGCATGTGCTCTCTTGTTTTTGGATTACAACCTAACTTTGATATGTAGATATAAGAAGATATGGTATGAGTGCCAATGAGACAACTCTCCATCCAAGTCAAAATTTATAAAAGTAAACCATTATAGGTCAAAGTACGGTCTTCAACACGGAGCCTTGGCTCACACCGAACAGCAAGCTATAAAGGGCCCCAAAAATTACTAGTGTAAAACCATTCAAATGGGAAAACCAACGGTCTAATCTATATAAAAAAAGAGAAACGAGAAACACTTATGAACCACATCAACAAACGACAACCACTGAACATCAGATTATATATAATAAGAGTATTAAGAGAAAGATCCTTATTGAAATCAAGTCACTTGGTCTAAGTTCAAGGTCATAGTTAATCAAAATAGATTTGCGCAAGACTATTTTACTGTCTTATATCATAATTTATATGGGGGTGTGAGGTATGCAAGCTTGCTCTCTAAAATTTCTTTAATTTAACCATTAATACGTTAACTGCAATATTAAAGATAAGATCATATAAAAAAGAATTTGTGATAGGTTCTATAGTAAATTTGCTTCTAGAAAATTTTCTTCTGATGGAAGTCTTCACCTTTTCTTCATTATTACCTTTTAAAAATCTGTATAATAGTCAAACTATATAAATTAGTGTTTTTTTTTGGTATTTTATTTTCTTCCAAAACTTTCATAGAATGTTTTCATGAAATATGAGTAAAGCAAATGAATGAGTTAAAAAGTTTACTGTTTTTAGAAAGTTTATGCAAATATGATCAACATGTTTATAATATACTAGTAGGAAGCTAACTTTTTCATAGTTTAAAATTTTTTGTAGGTGTCTTCTGTGTTTATATGTATTATATTTTGTGCAAAGAAAAAATAATTTTTGCCTTTTTTCAACAGATGAAAAAGGAAACAAAAGCACTGCAAGATTTTGAACAAGGATTGCTAATGAATTACAAAGGTTATCTTGAAGTTTTAGAAAAATATTGTACAGGTAATCTTTATCTACATTTTAGTTTTTCCTTTCACTCAGTCAGAGTTGTGGAAATAATAAAAAGGATTTTTGGTGTTTGTTAGACCTTCAAATTCATAACCATGGAAAAATTATGTGACATTGACATACACTATAACTCTAGTCAAATTTTGGATTATGCTCCTAATTTAAACAACATTTAAACAGCACCCGCAAATATATCTCCAAATTGATATGATATTCCATGGGTTGTGTTTCCTAGCATGGTATTTTTGTTAGAGGGTTGCGGCTAACAAGATAGTTATTGAACCAAGGGTTCCAAATGGTAAAGTTGAAGTCATACCGTAGAACGTTTTACGGGTCCTAACATTTATGTTTCATTTGTAGCAGCTATTATCCTGTCGTCTTTCCTAGCCTTTGTTCTGGAAAACTATGTTTTCATTTCAAGCTTACACCTTAAGTCCAGTTTGAGGGTTAGAGAATTAGATGACCAAGGGTTTTTGAATTTTGTGATACCTAAGGGATAGATAAAATTCACTAACAACTGTGTCATTTTGTGATGTCACCAGACATGACTCATTAACATCTTTTGGGTAATTCCTTTTATGCTTTAATTTTTATATATAAGCCAATTTTATCTGAGTTATAATTTTTTAAATACACAAAACAATGCCAATTGGAAACAATTTTCAAAATACACAAAACAATGCCAATTGGAAACAGTTTTCTAAATACACAAAACAATGCCAATTAGAACATACCACACACTTTGTATCACACACGTAAGTCCTTGAAAAGTTTCTTATTCTTATCTCCTGCTGCAAAATAAATCATTTCTGTGGGATCCATGAAGAATGAAGTTAAAGAACATAGTCAGTTTTATCTGCTATCTAGCTCTCTGATTCCTATACAACAGCTTGAGTAGCTTTTGAGAATCTTTATAGAATTGCATCCTGTCTAATTACCATGATTAACTGAAAATAATAACAATGCATAATATTGTGTCTTATATCAAGTGCAATTGTATTTTAAGGGATTATCCTGTTGATTTGAATTTCAAGATTTAACTTGGAAGGATATTCATTCTTATGAGGAAAAGTGATATGAAAAGGATACAGATCTGTTTTATCCATTGATTTAAACATACATGAATCATTTACTGCAGGAAAGATTAATGAGCAAAGTAACAGACAGAAGAGAAATGGCATAAAGCATATACATATACCAGATGAGGCTTCTCAGGTAATTATATAAATGTACTTGGTAAAATTTTGGTTAGTTGACAGTGGTTTTGAATAGGTACATGTGCACATATTTCATACCTGTAAGACTTCCATGGAACGAAAAGAAAAGAGAAAAATATCTTGCCTTGACAATGTTGCGGAGGCAAGACTTAGGGATGCTGTTGTAAATGGCACCAATTGTAGATATTTGACAAGAAGTTTTATTTCAATTTGCGCATCTTTGTTTCATGGAGCTCCCCCCCCCCCCTTTTCCCCCCTCAATCATGGTCCATTGATTTGAAACTTTTGATAGTTTGCATGTTACTCAGAAAAGACAAATCTCTGTGGCAACGGCTTATTCAGTTATCAAAAGCTATAGAAAAACATTTGGTGTATAAAATCATTGCAAGTATACTTGTCAGTCAGACAGGGATCACCTGACCTTGATCTCATTTCATGCTTCAGTGATAAAAGTGAGGTCTTCAAGTTTATGCATGTTTCTTAGATACTATAAGTAATGGGTCAACTATATTACTTGTATAGAATAGTTGTAAGGTGTACATGTTCTTCTTGCATGCTTTCTTCAGACAATCCTTCATTATACCCCCGCTTTCAAAAAGTCAGGGTATACTGTTTTACCTCTGTCTGTCCTTCCGTCAGTCCATCCATCAGTCCGTCAGTCCGTCCGTCCCATGAATATTTTCGTCGCATTTTCTCAGGAACTACTTGACAAGGATTTCTGAAATTTGGTTTGGAAAAAACATACAAGACTAACAAAGGCCAGAGGATCCTGACATGGGACAGGCTCAAAAATGCATCGTGGTTAAACATGTTTTATGAGATCTCAACCCTCCCCCTATACCTCTAGCCAATGTAGAATAAACAAACACACAGCAATATGCACAGTAAAACTCAGTTTTAAAGAATGATGAATGAACTTCAAATGTTTTGTCACACATTCCTCCAGTTCTACTGAACAGAATTACTTCATAATTGGTCAGTAGCTTGGCAGTGGTGAGTAGTTATTTGTGAGGTCTGTCATACACCCACTTTCTGCTTACCATAATATTGAATTACTAATGAGATATGCTTGGCAAGACACTGTGTACATTCTTATACCCCACGAAACAAAGTTCTGTAGGCTATAATGTTTTTGACCCGTCCATCTGTCAGTCTGTATGTCAGTCCTGTTCTTGTCAGCACAACTCCTATGAAACCACACAACAGAATTTCATAAAACTTTATAGATAGTTAGGACATACTATGTAGATGTGCATATCGACAGGAAATTTTTATTCAATAATTTTTTCTAAGAGTTATGCCTCTTTGAACTTAGAATCTTGGCCTAAATATACTACAGCAACAGTTTGTCATCACAACTCCTCTGAAACCATACAACAGAATTTCATTAAACTTTGTAGATAATAGGGACATGATATGTAGATGTGCATATCCACAAGTTATTTTTATCAGTTGACTTTTGTGGGAGTCTTTAAACTTAGGAATCGGGTGAGATTTTGTTTGCCCAGTGATGATGTGGGGCGTGGGGTATGTGAGCTCCCTCACAAAGGTTCTTTAATTTTTATTTGTTTGAATATAAAATAAAGAAACAGTTTGAAGATGAATCTTTCATTACAAATATTCGATTGGCTTCATAAAGACTATAAAAATAAGAAGATGTGGTATGATTGCCAATGAGACAACTCTCCACAAGAGACCAAATGACACAGATATTAACAACTATAGGTCATAGTACGGCCTTCAACAATGAGTAAAACCCATACCACATAGTCAGCTTTTAAAGGCCCTGAAATGACAAATGTAAAACAATTCAAACGAGAAAACTAACAGCCTGATTTATATACAAAATAATGAACGTGAAACAAATATGATATACATCAACAAACGACAACCACTGAATTACAGGCTCCTGACTTGGGACAGGCACATACAGAATATGGCTACGTTAAACTAGTTTGAAGGTACGCCAAACCACCCCTTAACCTTTGACAGTGATGTATCAGTACAACATAAGAACAAACTTTAAAGATCAGTTGAAAAGGGCTTATCTCGTCAGATAGATACAAAGTAGAAATACATCTAACAAAAACACAGAGTGAACATGGCAGGGTACTTATAAGCACACCACAAAATAATATCCAGGTTATAGATGTACTATTTACTGAAAGATGTCATAACTTTTGAGTTATGAAGAAATAAAATTATTATAGGTATACATGTAACTTAATATGATTGGTTTTTTTTTAGGTCATAACTGAATTAGCTGTTAGATGTATGTGTGAAATGTTGTCAAATCATCCACATTTCAATTATCGTAATAATATCATAGCAGTTTTAGTGCCATTGATGAATAAACACAACTCAGTGGTAAGTTTAAGTCAAAATTACTGCAAAACTAGACCATACACTTAAGAAAAATTAATGCAAGTACATTTTAGTGTTTGAACTTTGCTGTTTCCTACTGGAGTTTTGTGAGGAAACTGAAATGTTGGATTTTTGAAAATGAAATTAACTTTGTGTGATATTTTAGGATAATGATAATGAAAATAGCTTCAAGTTCATACTTTTGATCAAGGGTCACCACACTTCAGAATTTTAGCGAGAATCGACTTCTCCCTGGTAGCCAAACAGGGAGAATTGATGCACTAATGCTTTTCATGAATTAAGTTACCCAGCATATATACTTATTATATTTCAGAGTACTTTGCATGACAACTGTTAAGTTGTTATTTCCTTGCCTTGTGGTCTGAAGGAATTGAAAAATGATACAATTTTCAAATTCTGCTACATCTCGAAGCTTTTTCAAACAAATTTCTGTTTTGATTTGCTTACAATTTTGCTTAATAACATTGATAACATTAATTTTGCTTAATAACATTAAATAAAGTAACATTATTTTTACATAAATTAGGCCGTTAGATTTCTCGTTTAATATGTTTTACATTTGTCATTTCGGGGCCTTTTAAAGCTGACTATGCAGTATGGGCTTTGCTCATTGTTGAAGGCTGTACTATGACCCATAGTTGTTAATTTCTGTGTCATTTGGTTTCTTGTGGAGAGTTGTCTCATTAGCAATCATACCACATCTTCTTTTAACAAGAACCTAGGAACCCCCCCTTTTTAAAAAAAAAAACAAACAATTGTCAGGGCTCACGCTAGCAGGGGACTGGGGCGATAAAGTCGCTTTTCCATTTGACACATAACTTTGCCCTACCATCAAAAGCCATATCTAGTCGCCCTGGTGTTCACAATAGTCGCTTTCAGTTGCTTTCATTCGCTTTTGTCATCGGGAATTTTCAATTTTTACCAAGTCAATGAATCATCAATTTTTCAGTTATAAGTAAAGAAATTCAAAGACATAAAGGATTTATTTCTTTAGAAAAGAGGTGAAAGCATTGACTTTACAGATTGGTTGTATATTATTTCAAACAGACAACTTTATAAGAAGTATTTTCTGGCACAGATGACAGAAGAATAATGATCTCAAAAGGGAAAATTACTCATTCCACATGCACTTTAACAGACTCTTGGTTAGATCTCCTTGCTTAATGTAAATATTTCCATGTAAATGCATTGTTTCAATTTATTGATTAAAGTTGCTTAACTTTGTTATGTTTATATATCTTTTTAATGTGAAACAATGAATTTCATAAACATGATAAACAAAATAATATTTTAATTGAATTTTAGTTGATATATGCTGGGACTAGTATACTTTCTTTTCCTTATTATCTCACCTTGACAGAGTCAAAAAGCGAGACATAGGTATGCTGTTTCCGGCGGTGGGGGCGGCGACGGCGGCATCAACAATGTATTAGTTTGTGATTAGGCCTAGTTCATGGTGAACCACTAGTGGTAGGTCAATGATATTTGGTATGCAGTTGTATTAGCATTGGCACATCTCATTACCATGGAGATTATTTGGCCCCGCCCCCTCAGTCAAGGTCTATTGACTGAAACTTTGCTTAGTTTACATGTATTAGTTTGTGATTAGGTCAGTTTATGGGGAACCACTAGTGGTAGGTCAGTTATATTTGGTATGCAGTTGTATTAGCATTGGCACATCTCATTACCATGGATATTATTTGGCCCCGCCCCCTCAGTCAAGGTAAATTGACTTTGAAACTTTGCTTAGTTTACATGTATTAGTTTGTGATTAGGTCAGTTTATAGGGAACCACTAGTGATAGGTCAATGATATTTGGTATGCAGTTGTATAAGCATTGGCATATCTCATTTCCATGGAGATTATTTGGCCCCGCCCCCTCATTTATGGTCTATTGACTTTGAAACTTTTGCTTAGTTTTCATGTATTGGTTTGTGATTAGGTCAGTTTAAGATGAACCACTAATGTAAAGTCAATGATATTTGGTATGCAAATGTATTGGCATTTGCAAGTTTCATTTCCATGGAGATTCTATAACCCCACCCCCTAATTATGGTTCATTGACTTTGAAACTTTTACATAGTTTACAAGTTAATGTTTGTGTTTAGGTTTGTTTAAAGGGAACGACTTACGAAAAGACAATGGTATTTGGTTTGCAGTTGTATTAACATTGGCACATCTCATTTCCATGGAGATTTTTAACCCTGTACCTTCAGTCATGGTTCATTGACTTTGAATATTTGCATAACTTACATGTTAAAGTATTGCTATTTTAATTTCAACATTTGCATTATCAAAATAACAAATAGGCGAGACATATCTCTGTGTTAACAGTTTATTGATATAAAAAAAGTTCTTTTTAGTGCTAGATATTTAGTTGGTAGTTTCTTAAAAGAGGAAAAATATAATTGAGTAACTATAAATCAGTGATTATTTAAGACATAAACTGAAACAACTGTTACTTTAATTGTACACTCAGGTATGAATTGAACAATATAAAATAAAATTGAATTTGAACAAGGTGAACCAACACCTGAAGTGGTAATCGTGTGGTTGGGTAATAGTGGGTGGATACCGAAAGGTATTCACAGTTGTCTTTCACTATATAAGTAAAATAAACGACAATAAAGAAAACAACACCCATCAATTACCGCATGGTAGGAGTTTATTCTGGTCGACATGTTTCGCCAACAAGCGTGGCGTCTTCAGGACAATATTACATATGAAATCAAACAGTGAAGTACAAATTTTGCGGTTGTGTGGTTCGCCGAAAGTAACGTAACAATAGAGGTTGTTATGACGACGTTATAGATATAAATAGAAAGTGAAAGTAAAATAAAATAAGAATCTAGTTAAGTTAAAAGTGAAAGTTAGTCAATAAAGTCATTAACGATGTGGTTAGCTGCTATTCTTACACGTCTGTGTAGTTGTTCTCATGGAGGTTTCTAGTGGTAATATTGTAGAAATGATGAAAGTAGATCATAAAATGTCAGTTCATTTCCAAATTGGACAACACCCCACTGGCCATCCCTTACCAATTCAACTGGCTTCGCTCCGAGGGAGGTACTGTTCCAATCGCGATTGGAAGCAGTACCTCCCTCGGAGCGAAGCCTGTTGAATTGGTAAGGGATGGCCAGTGGGGTGTTGTCCAATTTGGAAATGAACGCTTGTTGGCGAAACATGTCGACCAGAATAAACTCCTACCATGCGGTAATTGATGGGTGTTGTTGTCTTTATTGTCGTTTAATATAAAATAAAGTAAAGTAAATAGGACACATACATGTATGGCCCTTTATATCATAGTAAAAACCAATCATTGTAGCACCATGAGCAAACAAGCACTTCTCTTTCAAGTCTCACCACTTCTCCCTATCAGTTTCAAAAAGAGAAGTCACTTCTCCATATGATTCTTCAAGTCTCACCACTTCTCCCTATCAGTTTCAAAAAGAGAAGTCACTTTCTGAAGTAGTGTGAGCCTTGATTGTTAAGTAAGTTTAAATATCTTGAAAAAGGTTTCACTTTCTTTCATACTATAATAAACAGATATATTTATTCGTTAAATTATTTTTTAGGGAATTCAGAAAAAAAAACACTTATTGAAAACGTCTTGTGAAATTCTGATAATTTCAAATCGTTTGTGATTGCTTGCGATATTTCATCATCAAGTAGAAGTTGAAAATGTGTGCAAAGGATTTTAGAACTCTTAGAACATGAGTTTTAAAATGTGTCAAAATTGCATAATATAACTAAATATATATAAATTGTGGTTGTCATTAACCAGAGATAGAATACAAACATGTTAATCACAAACAAATAAGGTGAGAGTGGGTGGAAAATCTGTACTTAATAGATATAAAAATATATACACCTACCCCACCGTTCTTTAGTAAAATACTGTTAAATTTATTAATCACATTAATATCTAAAGAACCTTTAGCTACACCATAACCCATGCTGCAGTATGAAACACCAAATCTGATCAAATAACCGATTACATTTTGTAATTTATACATTGTAATGCTGGTTTCCAGTTGGCTACTTCACTTTGTTCATAGCATTAAATACATGCAGATTCAAGTTCATGTTATGCAATGCTTTGAAACGAAATGAGAAATTTGTAATGAAGTATTTAACTTTGATATTAATCAATTAATATTGGATTTTTAACCAGATTTTAAAGGAAATATAGGTTATTAAAATAGTGACATACGGCGGGCGGCTGGGCGGATCTACGGCGGCTGCCAAACAGCTTGTCAGCAGAATAACATGAAAATGCTTTAACAAACTTTTTTCAAATTTAAATATGTTGTTTCCTGGGACTTAATGAAGGTCTGATTCAATTTTCAAGATATTAGTATATCTTTATAAATTAAAATTGCATATTAATGTGGATTAGGTGAATTATTAGAGTTTTGAAAAGAAATAAGAGCGCTCTCTACAATTTCAATAACAATCATGGCTCAACTTAAACAAACATTGTAAAATAGAGTTTTTCTCTTGTTTCTTGCTTATAGTAGCTATAATCTGCACCCTGTCTTGCTATTTCAATTGTGGAGAAAAAGCCCGAATTGAGGGGTAACACATTTATTACATCAAATGTTGAAATCCTTTGCATTTGGTTTGTAAATTATTAAAAAAAAATCAAGAGTCGACATTGGGGAATTTTACTGAAAATCGAGGGTGACAGAAACTTCTCCTTCGAGCTTCTTTAGAGCGATGTCAGTAATCCTAGGGTGGCAAAGTCGTTCACTTTGCCTTGTGTGGTGACCCTTGGTTGATAGCCTAAGTTTCAATCCTTGCATTGTCTGTATTTATTGGACTTATGATTGAGGCATTCAATTAATTGCTAGGTGGCTATTCGAAAGAAAGATAACTCAATTTCATTTGAGACTCAAGTTCCAGTCTTCTGGCATGCATTAATTTCAAAAACAAATTTCCTTTATGAAGCATGGAAAAAATATTTAGGTGAAATAATTTTATTGATTTCTAAAGGTAAGGCCTGTCTGTCTGTCTGTCCTTCTGTCTGTCTGTCCATCTGTCTATCCTTCTGTCAGTCTGGCAAATCAGTTTTCCACACTTTTTTTCTTCATGCTTAAAGATATTGATTTGATATTTGGTATATTGTTTTATCATGACAAGTTACAGATCAAGTTCGAATTTTGTTCCGGTCTGATAATTTTGTGCAGAGTTATGGTCCTTGGACTTGGAAAATTCACTCAAATATTCAGTTTTCCGCACTTTTTTTCGTCATTCTTGAAGATATTGATTTAATAATTGGTACATTGTTTAATCATGACAAGTTACAGATCGAGTTCGAATTTTGCTTCGTTCTGATGATTTTGTGCAGAGTTATGGTCCTTGGACTTAGAAAATTCACTCAAATAATCAGTTTTCCGCCTTTTTTTTCGTCATGCTTGAAGATATTGATTTGATATTTGGTATATAGTTTTATCATGACAAGTTACAGACCAAGTTTGAATTTTGTTTTGGTTTGATGATTTTTTGCAGAGTTATGGTCCTTGGACTTAGAAAATTCACTTAAATTATCAGTTTTTCGCACTTTTTTTCGTCATGTTTGAAGATATTGACTTGATATTTGTTATATAGTTTACACCATGACAAGTTATAGATCAAGTTAGCATTTTGTTCCAGTACAATTAATTTTTAACCGGTAGTGGACTATGTATTTCCATGCAATACTCTCAGAATGCTTGTTTAGACATCAATAACATTTTTAAACCTTCATGGAATTTTATGAAACTTGGACAGAAGCTTCTTCAAGACAAAGAAAAAGCATCTGAAGAAAAAATGAAATTTGAAAAATAATGTACTGTGTTTTACTGATAAATGGACTTAGTTTTAGCCACCAATTTGTCTTCAACTCACTGAGAAAATCCTGCACGGTGAGCCGGGCTTCAGCTGGCCCAGGAACAATAATGTATACTATTTCAACGAAATGGACGCCCAACTAAACTTTGAAACATACAAATGAACCAAAAGAAAAAGAAAAACCCACAAGACCAACAAAGGCTAGAGGTTCCTGACTTGGGACAGGCCCATATATTTGGCAGGGTAAAACATGTTTTGTGAGATCCCAACCCTCCCCTATATCCTTAGCCAATGTGGAATTAACAAACGCACAGCAAAACACACAGTACAACTCAGTTTAAAAGAACTCTTAAGTCCAATGTTAGAATAGGTAACAGAAAAAACTAAGCAAAATGACATGATTGTAAATAACAAAAGTAGGTCAATTTGTTGACTTCTTAGTTTATTTGAAATGAGTTTTCACTGACTATATGTTTTAACTGTCATTTCTATCTACAGGAATCAATATGTTTAATTTTTTTTGTACATTTGTTAGTGAGGGTAAATTTCAGATTACCGGTATATTATTTTTAATATTTGACAGATATCAGACATGGTATGTCAGACAAGCTCTAAAGTTTTTCGAGAAGATAAATCTGGAGAAGTTTCCCTAGAGGTTGGTATATACTCATCTAAAATATTAGCTGACCATAGTATGAAACTTCTTATTGGACTACTTGGTTATAAAATACTCAGAGATACTATTCTACTTATACACACTTTTATATTCAATCATCAATAAAACATGCAAGATGTTTTAGTATGTAATTTCTTGGTTTTTTAAGGGGGAGTCCTTGTCTTGAATAAGGGTATTATTGGTGATATCTGCTAACTGTCATTTTAGTTAATTTATGTTATTATTATCTAATTTTTTTCACAGATTGTCAGACTAATAAATAAAATGGTGAAAGCAAGAGATTTTAGAGTTCAGAGGAAGGTTTGTATTCATGGCAAGGTTTCAATAACGGATTATATTTATACTACAGTAAATTAGAATCGTATGTTGTGATATCTAAACAGGGAGAAGTGATGAGGCTTTATAGAGAAGAGCGGGTTTCATAATGACATTACAATATAAGAATAAGAAGATGTTGTGATCCCCTAAATGAAGAATTTTGACCATTTTACAAGAGAATCAAGTGATGTACTTCTGTATTTGCCTGTTCCAAGTAAGGAGTGTGTAATTCAGTGGTTGTTGTTGGTTGCTATCTGTCGTAATTGTTTTTGTTTGTTGTTTTGTTAGTAATCAGGCAGTTGAATTTTTTCAATTTAATTGCTTCACATTTTTATGTTGGGGCCTTTAATAGCTGACTATATGGTATGGGTTTTACCCATTGTTGAAGACTGTATGGTGACCTCAGTTGATTAAGTCTGCCACATTGGTCTCTGTTGGATAGTTGTCTCATTGGCAATCATTCCACATCACATTATTTTATATTAATGTGATACCGGTAGTAAATCCTTGATCATTAAGACTCAATATGAAATCTTAATCACAATCAGTAAAGCAGGCATTACCTTTCAGTGTGTGTCTACACATTAAATAAGAAACTGTCTACTGGACTCATAAGAAGCACAACCCATTAAAAATTATAAGCAACAGGTTGTACATATGTGGTGATGTCATCTATGTTTGTACTTATATCATTAGTTTAACGAATTCGGGGTTTGTATTGTGCGAGGTCTTTTACTCCAAAATTAGAATTGCCAGGAAGGTGAGTGGATTATAAAGTACTGTAAGCAAGAAATAAGAGAAAAACTCTATTTCACAACTCATGTTTACGTTCCGCCCTGTTTGTTGTTAAAATTAGAGAGAGCACCCTTATTCCTTTTCAAAACTCAAATCATTTACCATTTGTCTTGTATGTTACCAGCCATGAGATTTTCAGGTTAACAGAGGTACCAAGGTCAAAATTAGTTTATTGCAGTTTTATAAAGTATACATAGATTCAAAACGTCCTGACAAGTTATTTTGCTATATTCTTTAAAATAACAGAATTATGGTCATTTTTGTAAGTTTCGTTCATGCTGCAATCTTAATAGAGAATGTAATAATATTTTGGTACTTTTATTTTTCTAAATAATAGCTAGCAATGCAATGGGTATATAATTTAAACCATTTTGTATTGTCGAAAACATATTAATGATTCAGGAGAAAGGGATTTACGCAATGAAATTTAAAAGATAAGTTGTGTGAATTAAGAACACGATTCTAAACAGGATTTAATCTAAATTATCAATTTTACATAAAAAATCTAATTGTTTTGTATATCTTAATACAAAATCCAAATTTTCTTAAGTCATGAAAAAATTAAACTTTCTTTTACCGCATGATGTAAATGGACATTCAATAACAGGTTACCCGATTAAATTACGTGACTTTACATCGACTTTTTTCATTATGACGTTTACCGCCACAAGCCTGGAAATGTCATGGCGTTTCACATATTACAACAAAGTTTAACACTGACATTTTTCCTAAAGGTTCTGGACACATTCTTAGCTCTGAAGATTAAGGAGATAGATGCATTAGAAGATTTGGAGGAGAACAAGAAGAAAAAAAGAGAATTCATGTCAAGAAGAGAGAGGAAGGTAGTAATGACCATAACATGTCAACTATAAGTTTCTTTTTTTCAATTTTGTCTCTTATTCAATGTTTAACTACTAGAGTGATACACTTTAAAAAGATAATCTGAACTATACTTATACTGTGGAATTGAGAGAGTCATCATTATTTGTAAATATTGAAAGGTTTACCTTAAGGTTAAGTAGTTTGAGGTTTGATTTGCATATAATTGTTTTGCCCAGACAGAAGTTCAAAATCTTCTATTTATTATTTTATACAATGTTGTTCAATTATTTTTATGCCCCACCTACAATAGTAGAGGGGCATTATGTTTTTCGGTCTGTGCGTCCGTTCGTTCTTCTATCCGTCCGTTCTTCTGTCTGTCCCGCTTCAGGTTAAAGTTTTTGGTCAAGGTAGTTTTTGATGAAGTTGAAGTCCAATCAATTTGAAACTTAGAACACATGTTCCCTGTGATATGATCTTTCTAATTTTAATGCCAAATTAGATTTTTGACCCCAATTTCATGGTCCACTGAACATAGAAAATGATAGTGCGAGTGGGTCATCCGTGTACTATGGACACATTCTTGTTGTTTATACTATATATCCATTTGTTTTATGTTATGTCATTGAAATGCGTTGACTTATCCAACAAAAAAATTACCAAACTTGACAAGAAATTATGAAACAAATGACTCATTGTATACAAGCGCTTTGGTCGAATGAAATTTATAACATGTTGTTTTCATTTTTTACAGTACTGGGTCGATACCTCTGCTGGTGGACTATCAGTCCCAGAGGGTATCATCAGCTTAGTAGTCAGTACTTTGGTACTGACATGATTTATAAGAAACCTTTCTAAAATTGTCCGTAAATAAATTTTTAAATTATAAGAAACTCAGGCAAAGTTGACCTTAGACAAATTTGGCTATTTTTTAGGTCCTTTTTGGTCATATGCTCTTCAATTATTTAGGTTATTATACATTATTGGCTTTCAAATATTTGGCTTTGAGCGTTCCTGATGAAGGTAAATCTAGAAAAGCATATCGGGTGCATGAAATTTATAACACATTGTTTTCATTTTTTATATAGTAATTTATCACTTCTACATTATTTGAAAACAACAAAGCAGTAAGCAAAACAAAATTGGTACTCTGTTTCCTTTTGGATCATTTTGTTGGTAATACATACTGTGTGTAATGCAGATGGTATTGGAATATATGAATATTATGAAGGTGTGGGCTTTTGAAAATGATCACCATTTGTTATGGGGTCTAACATTTAAAAATCACTGAATATTACAATAAAATATATTGACGAGACATCTACCAAGCAATGTCTGATGAAAATGAAGATTATACCATATGCCCTTTTACAATTAGCAGTTGGCCATTCCATACAATTAAATTTCACTACTAAGTTGCTTCTAGTGTTTAGTGTAATAAATTGTGGTATTCTTACAGAAAAGAAAAAAGATGGCCAATTTGGAACATGAACTCTTAGAAACAAAAGCAACAGAAGATAAGAAGAAAAAGGTGAAACTTGTAAGTATATTTATTTTGTTATTAATGTATTTTTGGAAAGAATAAAAATGTACACCTCCTTTTTTGGACTGACTAGCAGTATTAAATATTTGAATTAAAATATTAAACTTGTAAGTTCCTCTAATTGTTTTTTTTTTTATATATTATAATGAGGATGAGATACTAACATTGTAATTATCCAGGCGTAATTTTCGTATATTATTTTTCTGCTGTCATTGATATGTGAAACAAATTGACGAATTGATGTTTGATAAATTTTTATATCCTTTGTACTACTTCACAGGAATGTCAATAACTAAGTAAAGATAGTTGTATTGTATTTGACATAACAAAGATCTTTGAAAAAAACATTTCTCTGCAGAACCATTTAATAATGAAACTTACTTTAGGTATTGTAATATTTTTGGCATGACAATAGTGACTGATAGTCTCTTGTGATGATTTGCTTTAATGATAAAGTGAGTTCAGTAAAGTGGGTGTACATATTTAAAATGTAATATTTAAGACCTATATACAAATGAGTCTGATGATTGCCTTATTCTTTGTCATTGAAGTGTTAATTATTTTTTTAGCATACAGAAATCATAGGAGCAGTGTTTCTGATTTACTTTAAAGTTTTGAAAGGATTCAGAAAGTCTACCTTGCTTCCATCAGTCCTTGAAGGTTTAGCTAAGTATGTCTGACTTTTAAACTGATCTATTTGAGAAAAGATTTGAGTCTTAAGAAATATTCTTAAGATGAGCAAGCAGTTGATTTTGTATATAGATATAGGAAGATGTGGTATGAGTGCCAATGAGACAACTCTCCATCCAAGTTACAATTTATAAAAGTAAACCATTATAGGTCAAGGTATGGCCTTCAACACGGAGCATTATTTCTAAATGTAAGACTTAAAAATGTTGTTATGGCATTATAATCATAGACATTATAATCTGTTTTTTTATACTCTCTGACGTTCTGTTACCACTTAATTCTAAAATTTATTGATTGATTGTTACTTGTGTTGCCAGAGAGGAGAGCAGGCCTAGGAACTGCTACACTTTGTCCTGAAATGCTTAAAGGGTACTTGTTTCATTTATGCCTAACTCCTACAGTTTTCAATAAACAAGACTCTTCAACTCTAACTGTTTTAATTAGAGCACCACTAATCGGTCCTATATAGCCAAAATGCATGTCTACCTTTAATGCCCCTGCCGTAGCGGTGGGGTCATTAAGTTTTACCCTTGTTAGTCAGTACTCCCCATAATTGGTTTCCGTTCTCTAACTTGAGTTTGCCTCAACCAAATGTTATGAAACTTATACACAATGCTTATTACCACTAAACACAGATCAAGTTTGAATTTTGGTGGCATCACTTTAACCGTTCTAGAGTTATGCCCCTTTATAAATGGAAAAATTGCAAAATTTTTAGTTTCCGTTCTCTAACTTAAGTTTGCCTCAACAAAATGTTATTAAACTTATACACAATGCTTATTACCACAAAACACAGATCAAGTTTGAATTTTGGTGGCGTCACTTTAACCGTTCTAGAGTTATGCCCTTTATAAATGGAAAAATTGCAAAATTTTTATTTTCTTCTAAATATCAAGTAATTTTTAAAATTGGAGTTATCTTCCTTTGTCCATGATTATAGTTGAATCAACTACAATCAATGCTTTATACAATGCAATGTTTAATTTTGACTTCCACTGATAAAACACAGATCAAGTTGAATTTGGGTAGTGTCACTTTAACCATTATTGAGTTATGCCCTTTTATAAATCGAAAGATTGCAAAATTTTTAGTTTCCATTCTGTAACTTAAGATTGCCCAAACCAAACATTATGAAACCTATACACAATATTCATTACCACAAAACTAAGATCAAGTACAAATTTTTTGTGTCCGTTTTCTAACTTTAGTTTGCGTCAACCAAATGTTATGAAACTTATACACAATGCTTATTACTACATAATACAGATTAAGTACAAAATTTGGTGGCGACACTTTTACCATTCTTGAGTTATGTCCCTTTATAAACATAAAAATTAATGAATTTTTCGTTTCCGTTCTCTACTTAAGTTAGCCTCAACCAAGTTTTATGAGACTTACACACAATGCTTATTACCACAAAATTTTTGGGTAGCGTCACTTTTACCATTCTTCAGTTATGTCCCTTTATAACTATATGATATGCAAGCGGGGGCATCATCTGTGTCCACATGTGGACACTATCCACATTAACATATATTAATGATTGCCTTAATATCTTTTATAAATTTTTCCAACCACTGGGTCCATGACACTGCTAGTGGACATTTTGTCCTTGAGGGTATCACAAGATCAGTGTTCAGTGCTCCACTGCTGAAATGGAATATCTTTGACATGATTTTGTCATATTCTGTCAATATCACTGTTCATGAGATATTAAAATCATTTGAAAAACTAAGTTTTTTTTATCCCTAGGCCTGAGTCAGATTTGGCAAACTTTTTGAAATTTTTGGTTTTTCAATATTCCTCAGCCATTATTTTATTATATATTGCAAAATGTAAAACGTTTGTACAATGTTTTCAACTGATCAAGTATGTTGTAATTGTGAGGTAACAATGCATTTGAACTGTGCAGTATAACTGAGGTAGTTAATGCCTCACGAGAGTGTGCATTATCTAGATAGTTCATAAGGGATTTTCACATGTTTTGTGTTAAAGTAAATTGTGTACAATATTCAAATGCAGAAAAAGTAAAACATTTAAGTTGAGTTTCGAACTATAAATACAAATGTAAGCAAACTAAAAAAAATAAAAAAAACACCAATAGGGAATTTTGTTAAAAAAAATTATGACTACATTTGGAGACAGGTGGATGCAGATAAAACAGATTTTATATATAATAGTATTAGGCTTAAAAGATTGTATTTGGTTAGCTGAAATTTTTATTTAAATGGAATTAAAATTGGTATCAAAATTTCTGATTTGTAATGGGCAGGGACACTTTTGCTGTACATATAATTGCATGATTTTAAATGTTGATTTATATTTATACTTTTTCAGGTTTTCACACTTAATAAACATAGATTTCTTTGATGACCTTTATAAAGTGTTTAATGAATTAATAGAATCAGAGGTATGTTATATTGTATGTTAGGAGCTACAATGTATAATCCAATTGTTGGAAACTCAATTTATTGGAAAAATATAATTGTAGAATAAGCACAATAACATTGTTTTTATACGACCGCAAAAATTATATTGGTATCACGTCGTCATCAGCGTCGTCCGAAGACATTTGGTTTCCAGACAATAACTTTAGTTTAAGTGTATGGATCTCTATGAAATTTTAACAAAAGGTTCAATACCACAAAAGGAAGGTTGGGATTGTTTTTGGGGTTGATGGTCCCAACCGTTTAGGAATTAAGGGCCAAAACAAGCATTTTTCTAGTTTCAGGAGAATAACTTGTGTATAAGTATTTTGATTGCTCTGAAATTGTACCACAAGGTTCAAAACCACAGGTAGAAGATAAGGAATCATTTTGGGGGTAATTGCCCAAACCGTTCAGGAATTAGGGGCCAGAAAGGGTCTAAAACAAGCATTTTTCTAGTTTTCAGACAATAACTTGTGTTTAAGTGTATGGATGTCTTTTAATTTGTACCACATTTAATAAAAAAAAAAATTGTCCAAAATAAAATTTTTTGGAAAAGGGGCGGGTGTCAAAATTTTTTTTGGGGGGTCAATTTTTTTCCCCTCAAGATTTAAGAAATTGACAATTTTCCAAAGAAAAAGATTTGGGGTCACAATTTATTTTGCTAATTCGTTTGTATATAGTCTGAAAACAGATTTACTAAGTATTGTGCAACAGCACAGTGTATTGCACAACAGTAAGAAATCTTCAATTGAATATAAATTCAAATCATACAACTAATTTCAAGTTCTTTGACTACATTTATTCTGTGTTAGAAACCTATAATATGTCAAATATTTAATTACAATCCAAATTCAGACCTGTATCAAGCTTGAATATTGTGTCCTTTTTTGCCCAACTGTTCAGGGTATGACCTCTGCGGTTGTATCCGACTGCGCTCGGTGAAGCAGTTTATTCTTATCTGTTTTTTTTCTAGGGGACAATACTGTAAATTCAGAATTTATCGCGTGCATTTATTGTTGCAATTTTTTAAGAAAGGACAATAATGCGAGTTTGATTATTGTAATTTTCAGAAAATCAACATACAGATATATTTATCAGATATCAGAATGCGAGTTCATATTATTGCAATACTCACCCAGTCCCATTATTCACAATAAAAACCTTGCAATAATTTCTGAACTTTAGTAATGGTATGCCTGATGATCATATTATTTCTTATCTAGATATTAGCACTAGTAAAAACACACCATAAATGTTGAAATTGTTATGTAGAAGGTTTAGTGAGATTATTTAATATTAACTTTTTTATGGGCAACATTTCATATTTACAAGAAGTATATTGGCAAGGACTGTAACAATTTTTTTGAAGTCTGTTCTTCTTCTAATGTCTTACAGTAAAGTTTTGTATCACCTTGTAAGCACAGTTAACGAATAGTATATTTCTCCTATACAGCCAAAAACAAATGCATGTAACTTTGTCTTCCTTTGAAAATATTACTCTAGGAGTTGTGGCTATACATTGTATTGCAATCACCTAGTTTGTCATTAGTAAACTTTTCTTTTAACATCCTCTCATCTGAAACTGCTCAATTGGTTGAAATTAAGGTTGTTCTGCTTCGTCTATGGGAGGATGTCAGCTACAAAGTTTGTTATTTTTGTTCAGGTTGATCAACCAAGATCTCCACCTTGTTGTTAAATAGAACATAGTGGTCAAAGTACAGTTTTGGCTAATATTTCTTAAACTATAGCTATAAAAGAGAAACAGTGACAATGTTAAAAATGGTCAGCACAAGTTCTATCAACCATGAAAATTTTGGAAAAATCTGCCCACCTTTTATGGAGTTGTTGCCCCCCAAATGTTTTTTTTTTAACTTTTAAGAGCTAGCTGATTAGTGTAAATTGCTAAAATGATCAGCATCAAAAGATGTATCCACCCTGAAAATTGGAGTAAAATCTGATGACATGTTTTGGAGTTTTTGCCCCTGAAATATTGATTTTTGTTTCCAATTTTTAGCAGTTATTGGTTGTTATTGTTAAAATTATAGGAGCTAGGTTAAAAGTTTAAATTGTGGGCCAGATCAGCAAGACAAAATGTATTTGCCTTCAAATTTGAAAATTAATCTCTCAGCCTGTTTTGGGGTTATTGTCCCTGTTATATCCATTTTTTGGCAGTTTTTGGTTGTACATGTTGTATTGGAGTATAAACCTATAGGAGCTAGGTTAGAAATGTATACTACAAAAATTGTAAGCATGACAAGATCTTTCTACTCTGAAAGTTTCAGATTAGGATTTTTACTGTATTTAGCAGTTTTGGCTATTATCTAAAAAAACTAAAAGAGCTAGGTTAAACATGTAAATAAAGAGCTAGGTTAAACATGTAAATTGCAATAATGATCAGCAACACAAGAGTAACTATAGTAGATGCATATGAAAGTCCTAATTAGCAAACTCGCAATTTTCCACAAGGTGAGTGATACATGTGTGCCTCTTGTTTGCTGTTATCTTGACTTTAGGATCTTGGTTAAAAGTGTAAATGGCAAAAATGATCAGCATAACAAGATCTATCTACTCTGACTATTAACTATTTGACAAACCATTTTTGAGTTATTGCCCCTGATAGGTTGATATTGACTGTTATTTGTAGTTTTGATTGTTTTATAAAACACTATAGGAGCTAGTTTAAACATGTAAATTGCAAAAATGATCAGCAAAACAAAAGAGTAACTATAGTTTGTGCATATTAAAATCCTAATTAGCAAACTGGAGATTTTTTTTTACAAGGTGAGCAATTTAGGCACATGTATGTACCAGACACCTAATTCCTGTTTTCTCATACTTTGAAATATCAATTGGGGTTTGGTTGGCACGACAATGCATTATTGTTATTATTTAAAAAAAGTTGCAATGTATGTCAATAAGACAGCAATCCAGTTACACCCATACCACATAAAACAAATTATTAGTTACATAGGAATTTTGTGAATTGTTTACATTATTCAAATAGTATTTGTTTAGGTAACCATGTCTGAATTGAATTGAAACATTAATCCCCACATTTGCTATCATATTTTCAGGATTCAATATGTCTATTTTTTATTTTTCCTACCACATATACATTGTAAATTTGCTTATTTAATTCCGTAAGACTTGTAAAAAGTAAAAAAAAAATTATAAAACTTGTTAATTGAGTTGATTAACAGGCACAATGGTGAAAATCAACCAGGGCATATAAGGCTGCTAAAGAGAGGATAATGAAGTACAAGTGATAATTTACTGATATAAACTTTACTAACTTTTAGAGATATTTTCCTAATGCTTGTAGTTTAATGGTTTGGTTGGCTTGCTTGCTTTGTTTGTATAAATGTTTGCTCAGTTGTAATTAAGATTGACATCTGCAATCAATAGATAGATGGGGCTTCATCTTGTACACTTTATACTGCACAATATACTTAACATCCAATAACATTTAAGTATAATGTATACAAGCTGAAGCCCCGCCTATCTACTGTTTAATACCCGGTAATAATAATAATAATAATTCTTTATTTAAAGAGGGTTACACAGTTAGCTATAAAACTAATATACCCTGAGGCCCTCATGAAATGTATTGAAATATAACAAACAAACAGTTATAAAACAATCAAACAAACACACACATAAGAAAAATCAAATAAGAATTTATTTGTATTAGATGGGGCTTCAGCTTGTATACCTTATAATATCTTATTTGATTGCAGATGTCAATCTTAATTACAATGCTTGAGCAAACATTTATACAAACAGAAAGCATGCAAGCCAACCAAACCTTTAAACTACAAGCATTAGAAAAATAGCTCTAAATATGTTTTGTAGCATATCTTTCTTAAGATATTGCAATAATTAGCACATTCCTAATGTATCTTGACTGAGAAAAAGAAATGATACAGGTGTTAATATGATGATTTTATTTTCATAGGATCTGACCTACAGAGAATCTTTACATGTGATACTGACAGCATTTACCATCCTCAGTGGACAAGGCAGTGCTCTCAACATTGACCCTCTTAAGTTCTACACACATATGTACAACACACTCTTACATGTTCATGCAGGTATACACAAATATATACATTCACAATTAAAGTAATGTAATTGTTGCAAAAATATTTTTATCAGTAAAATGTTTTGTTCTTTTGTACATGTATATAATTAAAAAAAGATGTGTTGTTGTTTTTGATGAGATATCTTTTGTATGATAAACAACAGAAAATTACAATATTTGTGATGCTACTTATAACTAGTGCATTTCTTAAGTGCATAAAAAAAACTTCCCAGAAATTGTTGGAATTCTATTTTGACACTGTGTGTACAGTGTATTCAAATATCTTATTTTGTTAAACAGTGTACACAATTACTTCATCAGCATTTAACAAAATTCTGTTTCACAGAATACACCAATTGATATAGCTCATTAGTTATAGACATTTTGATAATACCAGTAAACAAAAAATAAAAAGCCTCGCTTTTTTCTCTGTTTCTAAAGCTCATACAAATAAATTTTATATTCTCCTACAATGTAAAAATATTGTATTGCTGAGCTTTTCTCTTGTTTCGTAGCTAGTACAAATACATTTTATATTTTCCTACAATGTACTGAATATTGATTTTATCCTGAAATTCAACATTTAAGCTTTAAACTTATAGTTTTTAGCTCACCTGGCCCAAAGGGCCAAGTGAGCTTTTCTCATCACTTGGCGTCTGTCGTCCGTCGTCGTCGTCATCATTAACTTTTTACATTTTGAACTTCTTCTAGAGAACCACTGAATGGAATGAAACCAAACATGGCATGAATGTTCCTTATGAGGTGCTGACCAAGTGTTGTTACTTTGTAGCCGATCCATCATCCAAGATGCCCGCCAGCGGGGAACTTAGTTTAACATAGGACCCTATGGGAAATACATACAAATGTCTTCTTTTAGAGAACCACTGAATGCAATGAAACCAAACATGGCATGAATGTTCCTTATGAGGTGCTGACCAAGTGTTGTTACTTTGCTGCGGATCCAACATCCAAAATGGCCGCCAGCGGGGGACTTAGTTTAACATAGGACCCTATGGGAAATACATACAGATGTCTTCTTTTAGAGAACCACTGAATGCAATGAAACCAAACATGGCATGAATGTTCCTTATGAGGTGCTGACCAAGTGTTGTTACTTTGCTGCGGATCCAACATCCAAAATGGCCGCCAGCGGGGGACTTAGTTTAACATAGGACCCTATGGGAAATACATACAGATGTCTTCTTTTAGAGAACCACTGAATGGAATGAAACAAAACATGGCATGCATGTTCATTATTAGGTGCTGACCAAGTGTTGTTACTTTGCAGTCGGTCCATCATCCAAGATGGCCGCCAGCGGGGGGACTTAGTTTAACATAGGACCCTATGGGAAATACATACAAATGTCTTCTTTTAGAGAACCACTGAATGGAATGAAACCAAACATGGCATGAATGTTCCTTATGAGGTGCTGACCAAGTGTTGTCACTTTGCAGTCTGGTCCATCATCCAAGATGGCCACCAGGGGGGGGGACTTAGTTTAACATAGGACCCTATGGGAAATACATACAAATGTCTTCTTTTAGAAAACCACTGAATGGAATGGAACCAAACATGGCATGAATGTTCCTTATGAGGTGCTGTCCAAGTGTTGTTACTTTTCAGCCGATCCATCATCCAAGATGGCCACCAGGGGGGGACTTAGTTTAACATAGGACCCTATAGGAAATACATAAAAATGTCTTCATTTAGAGTACCACTGAATGGATTGAAACCAAACATGGCATGAATGTTCCTTATGAGGTGCTGACCAAGTGTTGCTACTTTGTTGCCGATTTACTGTTCAAGATGGCCACCAAGATATTTTATTAAATAACAGGACCAATATTAAACCAAATTTGGCCTCAATCATTATTTGGGTATCTGTTATGATTTTTATCTATCTTTACATGATTTCTAAAACCAAAGTAGAGTCAGGTGAGCGACACAGGCTCTTGAGAGCCTCTAGTTTTATTCCCAACCATTGGATTTGTCAACATGACTGAAACGCAATGAGGACCCCAAATTGAACTGTAATGTAAACAGTTATTTGAATATAACTGGTTGCCAACAACAGAAGCAAGATACCAGGATATTATAAATGTATACTATGCAGTTATAGCTTCATGTTATCTGTCAACTTGTATTTACATAGTAGAAAGGTTGACTTCAGGATACAATAGAATAAATACACAGTTAATCAGCTGATATACATCAAGTTGTCTCAATTATTGTTAATTTTTCTCAGAAACTAATAGCATTTAGATTATAAATAGAAAGAAGTATTCTTTTTTAAATTTTTCTGTTAGTTATATCATTTCTACAATTTTGTTGAGTTCAATGAAATTTGCATATGTAATTCAGACATTGTTTGCATGTGGCTTAGTAATAATATTTACAAGTATTGCATATAATTGAATATGATAAGAATAACAATGATACTTGCATATTTTCTACACAAATTTTTATTACCAGTAGTATGCTACATAACTTATATGCTGGAATGCATATAAGTTGATTTTTCAGAAGAATAAATTTTGTTAAAGTTCAATAATTTCAAAGAAATGCAAAACAATGCCATTCTTGTCTAAATCTCTTTAACTTTCCTTTGAAATCTGTTTTATATAAGTGATGAAATATTTTATATACTAAAACTGAAATGCCACAGTACATTAAAAATTGCTGTTAAAATCTGTTAGGATTTAATGTTCTGATCAAACAAGTCAGACTATTCCATTCATTTTTAGCTCACTAGGCCCAAAGGGCCAAGTGAGCTTTTCTCATCACTTGGTGTCTGTCGTCCATTGTCCGTTAACTTTTACAAAAATCTTCTCCTCTGAAACTTCTGGGCCAAATTTAACCAAACTTGGCCACAATCATCACTAGGGTATCTAGTTTAAAAAATGTGTCTAATGACCCAGCCTGCCAACCAAGATAGCTGGCATGGCTAAGAATAGAACATAGGGGTAAAATGCAGTTTTTGGCTTATATCACTGAAACTAAAGCATTAAGAGCAAATCTGACATGGGATAAAAATGTTCATCAGGTTAAGATCTATCTGCCCTGAAATTTTCAGATGAATCAGACAACCCATTGTTGGGTTGCTGCCCCTGAGTTAGTAATTTTAAGGAAATTTTGCAGTTTTTGGTTATTATCTTGAATATTATTATAGATAGAGATAAACTGTAAACAGCAATAATGTTCAGCAAAGTAAGATCTACAAATAAGTCAACATGACCAATATGGTCAATTGACCCCATAAGGAATTATTGCCCTTTAAAATCAATTTTAACAATTATTCGTAAAATTTATATGCCTGTTTACGGGACGTATTATGGTATACCGTTGTCCGTCTGTCTGTCCGTCGTCAACATGTCGGACATAAACTCAAAAACGCTTTAACCAATTTGCATAAAACTTTGGTGAATTGTTTATATCTATTGACGTGAGCTCCCTTTCGTTTTTTATAAATTTTAGATTTTACGTTTCCGAGTTATGGGGTTTTATTCATTAAAAAAAGGGGGATTTTCCAGTTTTCGAACAATAACTCAAGAATGCTGTCAGCAATTCTCATGAAACTTTGGTGAATTGTTTATATCTATTGACTTTACATTTTCATAAATTTCTAATATGACATTGAGAATTGATTTAACTTTATTTGTTTATAGTCTGATAACAGATTTACAATGTATTGTGCAACAGCACAGTGTATTGCACAACAGCAAGAAATCTTTAATTGGATATAAATTCAATTCATATAACCAATTTCAAGTTCTTTGACTACATTTATTCAGAAACCTATAATATGTCAAATATTTAATTACAATCCAAATTCAGACCTATATCAAGATTGAATATTGTGTCCATTTTTGCCCCAACTGTTCATGGTTGACCTCTGCGGGCGTATCCAGCTGCACTCAGCGAAGCAGTTTATTGTACCAATTGTAATCTTTTACAAAAATCTTCTCTCCTGAAACAACTGAGACAAATTTAATCAAACTTGGCCACAATCTTCACTAGGGTATCTAGTTTAAAAAATGTGTCCGATGACCCTGCCTGCCAACCAACATGTCAGACAATATCAATTGTAAATAAAAATATCAGGTGAGCGATACAGGCTCCTTGGAGCCTCTAGTTAAATATTGTGAAGGGTAGAATTTTTAAAATATATTTGAGTCACGATTTTGAAGAGCATTTTTGTATTTGTTTTATTTTAGGATGTTCCAGTGAAGATTTGCCATTAGTAATTGATTGTATTGATTGTATGATGAACAGACGTAAAAGATTGGTAATTTTTTTAAGGCCTGAATTAAAATGAAAATTATGGTTAATATAGCAGCTAAAAAAATCATGATAATGTCAAACTATTAGCAGCTATGATATCTTATCTTGTACAAATGAATTTAAACAGACTTGTAACAGACATATAAACATTAAGAAATAATATAAGACAACTACTGATGAGTACTAAGGTTCCTGACTTGTGACAGGCTTATAAACATTAAGAAATAATATAAGACAACTACTGATGACTGTGATGAGTACTTAGGTTCCTGACTTGTGACAGGCTTATAAACATTAAGAAATAATATAAGACAACTACTGATGAGTACTAAGGTTCCTGACTTGTGACAGGCTTATAAACATTAAGAAATAATATAAGACAACTACTGATGAGTACTAAGGTTCCTGACTTGTGACAGGCTTATAAACATTAAGAATTAATATAAGACAACCACTGATGAGTACTAAGGTTGCTTCATGGAAGCCATAGATTTGTTGTAAATTTACACATGGCCTGTCACTAGTCTAAGTCAGTTTCGGTAACTTGATAGTTATTGGTTAATTTCATTTTGGTGTATAGAATCGTTCACAGAGGTAAGGTTTACATGTCTTTCTGACAGGAGTAACCTTATTAAGATTTTTTCCTTTTGGTTCATTGATCAAATTGTAGTTTTTGACTTAGAAATTTTTATAGTCCATAAGAAATGTAATGAGTTGAAACATGTTAACAATCTGTATTATATTTCACAAATAAAAATATTTTTTAAAAAGTTTATTTTTTTTTATTTTTTAGATTTCACAACAAAGAATTCTGTCCTACACAAAGAGATTAGCAACTCTTTCATTGCAACAGATGCCAAATGGAACCATAGCTTTTCTTGGATTAATACGTAATTTTATGTTGGTAAGATATCTGTATTAAAAACCCTTTTGTCAAATCTAGAGGTTTATTTTATCAGATAGCTTTCACATGCTGACTGTACGTACGTACGTCCCAAAATTGGTTTCCGTTCTCTAACTTTAGTTTGCCTCAACCAAATGTTATGTAACTTATACACAATGCTTATTAACACAAAACACAGATCAAGTTTGAATTTTGGTGGTGTCACTTTTACCGTTCTAGAGTTATGCCCCTTTGCAAATGGAAAAATTGCTGAATTTTTCGTTTCCGTTCTCTAACTTTAGTTTGCCTCAACCAAATGTTTTGAAACTTATACACAATGCTCATTACCACAAAACACAGACCAAGTCTGAATTTTGGTGGTGTCACTTTTACGGTTCTAGAGTTATGCCTCTTTACAAATGGAAAAATTGCTGAATTTTTTGTTTCCATTCTCTAACTTCAGTTTGCCTCAACCAAATGTTATGAAACTTATACACAATACTTATTACCTCAAAACTCAGATCAAGTACAAATTTGGGTAGCGTCACTTTTACAGTTCTTGAGTTATGTCCCTTTATAACGTTATATGCAAGTGGGGGCATTATCTGTGTCCCATGGACACATTCCCCATTTATTTTGGTATTTATATACTTTGGATTCATTATTGTTCGTTGGATACCAATTTTCGTGGGTAGAGGTGAACCATGAATTAAAATGTTCAACGAATTACATATTTTTAATAGGCTTTGTATACAGAGATTGACAAAACCACGAAATCAAATATCCACAAAAATGCAAGTTTTCAGCAATCCATGAAAATTGATACCCACGAAAATAAATGAATCCACAGTAGATAAATACATGAAATATAACTGGTGAATAAATTTTATTGCCCTAATCTGTTAAAGATATTTTTCAGTTAAATTATATCATATGCAGTTTTCTCCTCAGAAATTTCTTGTATCATCTTGGTAAACAGGGAATTATGAAATACTTTCTTGTTTCCAGAAATTATAGCATCACATCCATAACTATCTTTAAGAAAATAATTTCAGATAACATCACATTCTAGCAATATAGCACCACATTACCATGATGCTAAAAGGCCCTAGGGAGAACACTGGACTATGGTTGTAGTGTATCTGTAGAAATTTAAGAAATTTTGGTTTCAGAATTACCACCTTTCTTCTAGTAGACCAATTGTTGTAAAATATTAACCAACTTTTTTGGCACAAATCAACTGATGCTTTCATGAATTGATACTACTCTTTGGTTTTGTTAAGAAAGTATGTTGTAAAACAAAAGACTTTCAACAGATATGTCAAAATATGATGGTTATTTTCTTTTTTAGCATTATTTTTTAAATAAATTTAATTTTAAGAGCCGGCATGTTGTAATGTAGTAAAACCAAAGACATTCAACAGATACCGTATCTCAAAATGTGATGGTTAGTCATTTTCTTTCTTGTCATTATTTTTAGATAAACTTGATAAATTGCAAGCTGATCCCATAATAATATTGTGTTTTTGTTATGCCCCACCGTATGTCCGTCCGTACGTCCCAAAATTGGTTTCTGTTCTCTAACTTTAGTTTGCCTCAACCAAATGTTATGAAACTTATACAAAATACTTATTACCACAAAACTCAGATCAAGTACAAATTTGGGTAGCGTCACTTTTACCTTTCTTCAGTTATGTCCCTTTATAACTATATGATATGCAAGCGGGAGCATCATCTGTGTCCACATGTGGACACTATCCACATTAATTTGTTTTGTATTAGCTTAAGTGTTGGTGTGTAAGATTTGAATACTTCATGTTTGTTTTAAGAACAAATAAGAACATATAATTGTTTACTTTTTACACATTGCGACTTGGAAGGAGAATTGTCTCATTGGCACTCATACCACATCTTCTTATTTCTATATATCTTTCTATTGGTGTCTATCTGCTTTCATTCATCTAAGTTAAATTGAATGTAACATGTATTTTATTCATTTTCTGCCTACTGAAGAATAGAGTTAGATAGAAAGATTTATTAGTCCCCTACCGACGAAGTTGAAGGGGACTTTAGGTTTGCACTCCGTCCGTCTGTCTGTCCTTCTGTCAGTCCGGCAAATCAGCTTTCCACACTTTTTTTCTTCATTCTTGAAGATATTGATTTGATATTTGGTATATAGTTTTATCATGACAAGTTATAGATCAAGTTCATATTTTGTTCCGGTTTGATGATTTAATCCAGAGTTCTGGACCATATCTATGTTAGAGTACTAAGTTAAACCATATTTCTGTACTAATTTTTTAAAAGACATTCTTTGTTCAATTATTTGAAGAATTTTTTGGCAGGTTTGTTAGTTATTTAGTATAAACTAATTTTCTGAATGCTATATATATAAAAAAAATTATGAAGAGAAATCCTTTAATTAGATAATAATCTATTTTTATTATGTATATATTTCAATACATTACATTGTGTAGATAAAAGTTGTTGACATTTTATAGATAAGTTACAAATCTATATTAGTTTGTGACAAATGAAAGAAAAAATATTTGGAACTATTAATTATATTTGATTATAATTTGAAAATAGATATACACTGTATTACATCATATCTAATTTTAGAGAACTATTAATCATATCTAATGTTTTTTTCATCATGCTTATACAATATTGATTGATAATTGGTATATAGTTTTATCATGACAAGTTACAGATCAAGTTCAAATTTTTGTTTCGGTCTAATAATTTTGTGCAGAGTTATGGTCCTTGGACTTGAAAAATTCACTCATATAATCAGTTTTCCTCACTGTTTTTAGTCATGCTTGAAGATATTGACATGATATTTACTTTTTGTTTACACCTTGGCAAGTTATATAACAAGTTAGCATTTTGTTCCAGTATAATGAATTTTTACCCGGTAGGGGACTATGTATTGCCATGCAATACTCTCAGAATGATTGTAAATATTTGTGTGAATTTGATCTTATCTTGTAGACATACAAATACACCGACTTTTTATTTGACAACGAAAGCCAAGGAAGTGGTATATACTTACCAGAATTACCAGAACCAGAACATTGTCATGCCCATAACACTATGTTATGGGAAATCTCTTCTTTAAAGGTAAATATTTAAGCAGAATTTTAATAGACTATTTTCATATTACCGATTTTTGACTCCGGATTATATAATTTTTCGACAGGTTACCTTTTCTGTGGTTAGACATCCTGGTACTCGGTCGAGTAAGAGCAACCAAAATAAGTAAAATCAAACATATAATTGGTGTAATTTGAGGGGAAAGTGTACTGTTTCCCGATGATTTTGATGTGTAAAGAAAATATAAAGCAGTTAATTTTCCCCAAAAATTGTACCGATTGAAAGCTTGGTTTTACTACTTTACTTTGCTCTAACTTGACTTGGTACCAGATTGTCCTACCACACAGAGTAGGTGACCTGTCTAAAAAATATAAACTTCGGAGTCAAAAGTCGGTAATATGAAAATAGTTTATTGACCAGCCATTATCCTGTGCTTATCACACTGGATTTCTGACTTGGCTGATAAAGGAGATAATTGTAATTTACATTCTATTGTGACCACTTTAAATGTGCACTTTACTATGAAATAGGTTAACAAAATTTATCATGTGCATGATCAGGGATCAGGAAGCTGAATGGTAAATTAAAAAGTTCCTTGTTCTTTTAAAATAATGTTAAGTTTGTATAGTGTATGATGAAATAAGTACATCTTCCTCTTTATTCAAATATGCACAAAATAGCAAGTGGGGGATTGAAATTACACTGTTAAAAGGTTTGTGTCATAAAGTTTTAGGTAAAGTAGTTATTTAGTCCGTTTAAAAAAGGTGAAAAATTAGTATTCCCTAAATCATTTTTCATCCTCTTTAAAAATTGCTTTGTGTAATAACCCAACTTTCAACAATATTGCATGATTGATTGATTGATTAGTGTTTAAAGCCACTTTCAACACCATGAATGTTGCATAAAAGCTCTTCTTAAAATCTTCATTTGATTCCATTCAGACAAAAAAAACATGGCCACAGGAGCCTTCCTAATTAGATTGAGCATTTGGATAGTCTTTATTATTGCCTGTAAATGATGATTCTTAACATATTATATTGTTTTGTTTTGTTTCTGAAACTGCAAGGCCAATGTTAACCTTGGCATTTGTAAGGTTCTCAATATAAATCTTGAACAAAGTGAAAAAAGACAAACAATTTTTAAGACTTGACAGAGGGCTTTCAAATGTTTTGTGTTTAGTGTTGCTGATGAAAGTAAGTCCAGAAAAGCTCTTCAGAAGCATTCAAATTTATAAAGTGTTATTTTCATTTTTTCCACTGATTCATAGAGAACAGTATGTAAATGCATAAAATGACTGGTTGGGTAAAACCTGGATCTTAGATTCTGTTTTTGGTTTCAACATATTTATCTAGCTTGAATAATTTTTTTTTTATTTTCAGAATCATTATCATCCTGCCATTAAGAAATATGCAGTACATTTAGGTAAAATGGCTCCTGTGTCTGGAGAAGGACAGTTACCGATACAATATAAAAAGTAATTATTACATCTTATTAGATTGAGGAGATACAGCATAGAGTTTGTTTCTGTCAACCAGTTATTTTTTATAGGCAATCATACAAAAAAGCCTTGCTGTTCTGAACAACATTTTTTGTATTAAAAAGAAGTAGGGCCAGTAAGACCCCTTTTTGGCCCCAAACAGAGTTCGCGAAAACTTATTTTGACCCGTCGGTCATGGGACCGACAAATCATGATTATTTGTCAGTCCTACAAAATTTTAGCCAGTCCTACAAAATCTGTCAATTTTATCCTGAAATAAAATTAATAACATATTTTATTGAAAAATAACTTTATTAATATTAGTTTTATTCTTCGCACCCACAGACAAGTTAACAATGAAGGACCAGTTCAGGTCTTCTGATTGTTTTTATTTAAAGTCATCTTCACTATCCATTTCATCATCTGAATCACTTTCTCTGCTGTTACAGTATTTGTTTGCTCCATTGTAGGGTTCAATCGCCGATTGTTTGCCAGAGATGGCTCTATGAACAAATTTAGAAGGCCACGTGTAGATCGACGCTTTGGTTTGTTTATAATAAATCCGTACCGATGTAAACACTTATTGGAAACAGTTGCGGTACATCTAATAACCGATATAAAAAAGTGCCGAAATATGCACTACAACGGCCGTTTTTACATCGGTCATCGGGACCGGCACTAGCCTTCAAAATACTGGTCCGAGCCTCATTTTGACCGACAGGACCGACAGGATCGACCATTTTTCCGAACTCTGCGGCCAAAATATAGCATTTCAAAAATTTGTTAAAATGTAAACTGTTAGCTCTTTATTGGAAAAAAGAATACTTTTGTTACATAAATATGGGCTGATTTTGACAATACAATGCTCATGCATCAGGTACTAACATCATTAATTCATGCAAAATTACTGAAATCTTCACAATTTTAGCATATGTGCTTATTTTTAGACGGTTTTTGTGTAAAATGGAAGTGGTAGCACTTGTGTGTTCAGTCTTAATATTTAAATATATGTTGTATTTGATGATGATTCATAACATATATAAAGGTTGAGACTGAACACGAATGTGGCCACTTCCATTTGAGACAAAAATCATCTGAAAAGTGATGTTTTGTGGGGTATTTGATAGATTTTTCATATTTAAGCTTGAATTTATGCGTCTTTAATCAAATCAGTTCAAATCTTTTACATTAACTAATTGAATAGACTGAAGAAGACACTTAAGTGTTTAAAAAATGTCAAAAATCTATCATCAGATGTATTTTAAATTTTAGGCCAAAATTAGCCCTTCCCGGACCTTCTCCTTTATTGTTTTTTGCCTTCTATTTTGAAAGCTATTATAGATAGAAACAAGAACATAGACCAGAATATCTGTGAACAGACAAGATAAAAAAATCCATTTAAACCATTTATTGACTCCGGTCTTAAATGATTATTTGTTACCAATTTAAGCATTTTTGTTCTCGTCATGTGGTGCCACAGTGGATATGGTAATGGTCTCTGTCTGTCTGTCAGTCAATCTGTCCATCCTTCCAAAACACACAAATACTCAGACCTTTAGACATACTTAGTAGGACTATATGTCAACATATTCTCTTTTTAGTATTGTTAAAATAACACTGTGTGAACTCAACTCCTCTAAATGATTTTACAGAACACTCTCATACTTGAGAGAATTGTTTGCCATCATGTGCAGTTGACCGTATTATATAAAAGAAAAGAGATGTGGTATGATTGCCAATGAGACACCTATCCACCAAAGTTCAAATGAAGTGGGTGTAAGCAATTATAGGCAACTGTATGGCCTTATGCCTTCATTTTTATCCATCCATTTTTATGGTTATGGGACTACGACTATTTTTATGCCCCTGCCGTAGCGGTGGGGGTATTAAGTTTTACCCTTGTCCGTCTGTACGTACGTACGTACGTAGTCCCAAAATTGGTTTCCGTACTCTAACTTGAGTTTGCCTCAACCAAATGTTATGAAACTTATACACAATGCTTATTACCACAAAACACAGATCAAGTTTTAATTTTGGTGGCGTCACTTTAACCGTTCTAGAGTTATGCCCCTTTATAAATGGAAAAATTGCAAAATTTTTATTTTCTTCTAAATATCAAGTAATTTTTAAAATTGGAATTATCTTCCTTTGTCCATGATTATAGTTGAATCAACTACAGTGAAACTTCTTTAATCCAGTCCCTCTTAATACCGGTTCTCACTTCATACCGACTAAATCAAGAAGTCCCGGCAGACGTGTACGTAAATAAACGGTCAGGTAACCTTATAAAACCGGCCACCCCTTTAAACCGGATACCGGCCGTTATTTGTGTATTTGTGTAATCAAAATCAATAAAATTTAACCTCATAAAACCGGCCTTGTTATTTAAAATCATCCATCCATACAGATTATTGTTATGTAAACAAACATGTTCATCCATTCAATTAGAACACCTGCATTGCGACTGATTAGTGTTTACCTGTCAATTTCAAATCAATACCCGAATTTATTATCGGTTGAGAGATTATGATCTTCACCCACGCTTATCAATGATGATAATTAATTTTCATAAACAGTTATAGCTTGGCTACTTTATTTGATCATTTTAATAAATAATAAATTATTAGGGAAATAATTATAAATTATAAAAATTAATCACTTTGATCTTTGAAATTCTTTAAAAATAAATCGTAAATAGATATCGTCGGTATAAACTATTGATGTTTAATTTATACTAATGATACACGCTTTAAGTAAAATAAAAAGGGTAGTTACTGCAATTATTCATCAATAATGTCTCGTCCAGTGAAACATCAACGTGTAGAGTTATCACTTAGTGATAAAGTTAAATTGATAAAAGATCATGAATCAGTACCTAAGCCATCACAGAGAGAGCTTGCTGAAAAGTATAAAGTAGGCAAGTCGACAGTCAGTGATATTCTACGCAAGAAAGATACCTATCTGCAACAGTTTGAGCTTAGAGCTAATTCTTCAAAGCAGAGATTTAACGCCAACTGCAAATTCTTTGATATCAACGACATTGTATGGAAATGGTTCAATACTGCCCGTGCCAAAGGCATACCAATATCCGGACCAATTATCCAGGAAAAGGCACTTCAGGTGCAGATGAACTCACCATTCCAGACTTCAAAGCGTCAAATGGATGGTTAGATAGATGGAAGTCCCGCTACTCCGTACACGCATTTAAAGTAAATGGAGAGAGTGCCAGCATAGATACAACAACAGTAGAGGAATATCGCAGCAGGTTACCAGACATCACAATGGGCTACACACAAGCAGACATCTTCAGCTGTGATGAGACCGGGTTATTTTATAGGGCCTTGCCAGATAAAACGCTAGGCGTAAAAGATCAATCTTGCAAAGGTGGCAAAAACCGAAAGAGAGGCTCACTGTCATGTTCGCCTGCAGTTCAACTGGTGAAAAGTTGAAACCACTTGTCATAGGAAAGTCGTTCAACCCACGCTGCTTCAAGAACGTCAACAAAGGAAACCTGCCAGTTACCTACTTCTCGAACAAGAAAGCCAGGATGACAACTAATGCCTTCATCGACTGGTAACGCACAGTCAACACAACTATGAGACTACAGTGCCGACACATACTCATGTTCCTGGACAACGCATCTTCCCACTCAAAAGAACTCAGTCTAAGCAATCTAAAACTCAAGTTCCTACCAGCAAACACTACGTCAGTACTTCAGCCACTAGACCAGGGCATCATTTGAGCGTTCAAAGCACGTTACTGCAAATTGATGATTTCCTCCTTACTCACCAAGATAGATCAGACACAATCAGCTGCTGAACTCTGCAGAGAAATAAATGTGCTAGACGCCATTTACTGGGTAACTAGAGTGTGAAACAACACAAAAGAATCAACAATTCAGAAGTGCTTTGGAGTGGCAGGCTTTCCATCTTCTGATCCAGACACAGATGATAACAATGACGACGACGATGATGTACCACTGAGTGAACTTGCTAAACAACTTAATTTGTCACCCAACATAGACCCATGCTTCGACGATTCGATACCAACAGAGGATGACTCAGACGACTGGGAAAGAGAACTCATCAGTAGCTACTGAAGTTACCAGCAAGAGCCAACACACGAGAGCGACGACGACGACATCTCAGCACAAAGTGAACAAGAACCATAACAGAAAATGACGCTTGAAGAAACATTAGCTGAAATCAGAAGTATTCACGCCAGTACATCAGCAACTTCAATCCTTTCAACAACACAGGCAATGATCACAGATTTAGAAGCGCTCATTGTGAAAAAGAAGTGCCAAAAGAATCAATGTGCCATTGACAGTTTCCTTGTGTGATGTTCTATGTGACTATAAACTGTAACATTTAGTGCTTAATTTTATTTGTAATATGAAATGCATATGTTTGTGTTCATCTTAGTGCTTTTTAAACTTCTGTATTTTATGTCTTTTTAGCTCACCGGGGCTCGAAGGGCCCCATGTGAGCTTATGCCATCACTTGGCGTTTGTCGTCTGTCGTCGTAAACTATTTCAAAAATCTTTTCCTCTGAAACTACTGGGCCAATTACCTTCAAACTTTAACTAAATGTTCCTTAGGGTATCTTGTTTATAAATTGTATCCCAAGTTTGTATCCATCAACAAACATGGCCGCCATGGCTAAAAATAGAACATAAGGGTCAAATGCAGTTTTTGGCTTATATCTCAAAAACTAAATCTTTTAGAACAAATGTGACATGGGGTAAAATTGTTTAATTGGTCAAGATCTATTGGCCCTGAAATTATCAGACAAATCGAACAACCCATTGTTGGGTTGCTGCCACCGAATTGGTAGTTTTAACAAAATTTTGCAGATTTTTGTTATTATTTTGAATATTATTATAGATATATATAAACTGTAAGCAGCAATAATGATCAGCAAAGTAAGATCTACAAAAAAGTTAATATGACCAAAATTGTCAATTGACCCCTTAAGGAGTTATTGCCCTTTAAAGACAATTTTACACAATTTGTTCATCAAGTTTGCTAACATTTAAAAATCTTCTCCTCTGAAATACAGGTGAGCGATTCAGGCTCTTGAGAGCCTCTTGTTTTTCATAGCTTATAATGTATAAATTGTGTAGTGCTGACATGTTTAAATACTTTGTCCATTGTATCATCGTATGATTCCCATGGTGTACCTTGAACGTTTAATGATAGCATTGTTATTGCATATTGATATGAAAACTTATATTTTAAGGCGTATTTTATTTATTATTTCTGCAAAATAAAAAAATTATAAAGATACAAATGATGTTTTAGTATTTATTTTATAATATATTTAGAATATAAAACTATAATTTACACAAGAAAACAAACATTCTGATTGAGGTAAAATACATCAACAAATATACAAATACACAAATATTAAAGGGAAGTAACTCTTGATGATTTCAAATTTCAACAAACCGGCCACCCCTGAAAGTGGCCGTATTCCGTGGTCCGACGGGCGGCCGGTTTTGAGAAGTTTCACTGTACAATCAATGCTTTATACAATGCAATGTTTAATTTTGACTTCCACTGATAAAACACAGATCAAGTTGAATTTGGGTAGTGTCACTTTAACCATTATTGAGTTATGCCCCTTTATAAATCGATAGATTGCAAAATTTTTAGTTTCAATTCTGTAACTTAAGTTTGCCCCAACCAAACATTATGAAACCTATACACAATCTTCATTACCAAAAAACTAAGATCAAGTACAAATTTTTTGTTTCGGTTTTCTAACTTTAGTTTGCCTCAACCAAATGTTATGAAACTTATACACAATGCTTATTACTACATAATACAGATTAAGTACGAAATTTGGTGGCGAAACTTTTACCATTCTTGAGTTATATCCCATTATAAACATAAAAATTGCTGAATTTTTCATTTCCCTTCTATAACTTTAGTTTGTCTCAACCAAATGTTATAAAACTTATACACAACTGTTCAAGGTGATGCGTGTTTACAAATAGAAAAATTGATGAATTTTTAGTTTCTGTTCTCTACTTAAGTTAGCCTCAACCAAATGTTATGAGACCTACACAAAATGCTTATTACCACAAAAGTCAGATCAAGTTCAAATTTGGGTAGCCTCACTTTTACCGTTCTTCAGTTATGTCCCTTTATAACTATATGATATGCAAGCGGGGGCATTATCTGTGTCCACATGTGGACACTATCCACATTTATTTTTATACGACCTCAAAAAAATTGTGGGGTCGTATATTGGTATGACATTGGTGTCTTTGTCGTCGTCGTCCGAAGACACATTGGTATTCGCACTCTAACTTTAGTTTAAGTGAATGGATCTCTATGAAATTTTACCATAAGGTTCAATACCACAAAAGGAAGATTTTGGGGGTTATGGTACCAACAATTAAGAAATTAGGGGCCAAAAAGGGGCCAAAAATAAGCATTTTTGTAACTTCCAGACATAACTTGTGTGTTAGTGTATGGATCTCTCTGACATTGTACCACAAGGTTCCATATCACAAAGGGAAAGCTGGAATTGAGTTTGGGGGTTATTGCCCAAAACGTTTAGGAATAAGGGGCCTTCAAGACAATAACTTGTGTTCAGGTGAATAGGATCTCTCTGAAATTGTACTGCAAGGTACCATACCACAAAGGGAAGACTGGGATTGATTTTGGGGGTAATTGCCTCAAAATTTTAGGAATTAGGGGCCAAAAAGGGGCAAAACACAAGCATTTTTCTAGTTTCAGGACAATAACTTTTGTGTAAGTGTATGGGTCTTTATGAAATTGTACTACAAGGTTCCATATCACAAAGGGAAAGCTGGGTTCAAGTTTGGGGGTAATTGCCCTAAATGTTCAGGAATTTGGGGCCAAAAAGGGGCCTAAAAACAAACATTTTTCTAGTTTCAAGACAATAAGTTGTGTTCAAGTGTATGGATCTCTCTGAAATTGTACTGCAAGGTACCATACCACAAAGGGAAGGCTGGGATTGAGTTTGGGGTGATGAATCCTAAAGGGGTTCCCAAAATATTTGGGGAGGAATTTTTTTTTTCCCTTTTTTTCCTTTTTTTTTTTCTTAAAATTTTCCATTTTAAATTGGTTATTTCTGATTTATGTATAAAAGCAAATAATAATGATATGGTTTGAATAGGTAAATTAAATATATTTAAGTTCTTAGACCACATTCATTCTGTGTCAGAAACCAATGCTGTGTCAAATATTTAATCACAATCCAAATTCAGTACTGTATCAAGCTTGAATGTTGTGTCCATACTTGCCCCAACTGTTCAGCGGTCGTATCAAGCTGCGCCCAGCCTAGCATTTTATTTAGTATTGTGACAACAACACCTTGTGAAAGCAGTTCCTCTGTGACCACTTGACAGAATGCGCTCATACTTGGTTTTATTGTTTGCTATCATGTGAAGTTGATCTCATAGTACTGCCATTTTTGATTTGACCATTTTACAAGAGTTATGGGACTTTGACCATTTGTTTGAGTATTGTAACAACACCTTATTAACCCAACTCTTTTGTTGCTAAGTCTCTGGTTTTATATGTTGTGTTTGGTGTACTGTTGTTTGTCTGTTTGTCTTTTCTTTTTATAGCCATGGTATTGTCAGTTTATTTCCGCCTTAAGACAGAGTTTATTTTCCATTTTATGTACATTTCCAAGGGGTGTAAATCCTTAAAAAATATTTTCTATCTGCCCTGATCTTTAAAGTAATTTTATAGTGATAATGTAAACATAAATTCCATCAAACTCCAATGAAAAATGTAGATGGGATGGCACTCAATTTGTGTGTCAGCCATCAGCATTTCAATATCCCCATCTTTGCTTCACAGCGGGAGACAAAGAGATCAAAAGATTTTGTAAATGTAATATATGTTATTCTAGGTTGCTGGTTTCAATGGAAGTATTGAGTATAGATGTACAGTAACATTAAACAGTAAAAAGTTTAGTTGCTTGTGTCCTATTTTTGAACTTGAATTCCATTCCAACCTCCTGCACCCCCAAGGATCTCCCACCTTGCCCAAATAACTTTGCTAGGTATCATATTTATTTTATCTTAATAAAATGCTTCTTTAATCAAAACATTTACAAGTCAAATATTACATGATCACTCACAGTAAAAAGGATTACATTGTTACAGTGTTACATGAATGAAGATTTAAATGCATTATTTATTTTCAGACCTCCACGTGATTTATATAATGATCATTCTACAGAAATAGATGTATTTAATCCACCTGTTGCAGAAAAATCAACTTATAAACACAAAAGTAAAAAGGTATATTTTTGAAAAACAAAAAATCAAAGGTGTGACCGGTAAATCACATCTGCCATTTAACCCTTGCTACTAACTGTTTAAATGACAGGGTATTTACTTAGGGCTTGCTATTACAGGGATACTGTGGATTCATTTTTATTCATGGTGTACCAATTTTCGTGATTTTCTTGGGTCACAGCATACCACAATTTTAAGAATTCAACTAAGAATAATACAGAGAAATGTATTGTGTTGGATGTTTATTTCCAGTTATGTTGTGCAATTCTAGTATAATGTTGACTTGCAATAAACATGATATAAACATTTAAACTTGTTTTTGAATAAAAATATTCATTAAAAGTCAATGACTGGATATATATTATCTTTAATTTGTGAAAAAATAAAAATATTTTCACTTTAAATTTAAGCACAATGTTGACTGTTGCAATTCATAATTTTGAATGCTGTAACTGTGTGAATGGAGCCAGAAGATGACCAAATTAAGTACGTAAATTCAGAAATTAATGCATGTATTTATAGAAACAATGTTCACACATAAATAGTTTATATTGTATTTTATTATATCTTTTTTTATTGTAGATGAAGATGTTCATGCAGGAAGATATTACTGATATGGTAGTGCAAGTACTTAGTTCAATACCAGACTGATCACTGTGGCAAATAATAAAATGACATCAATAGTTTTTATCCTTTTTATTTCAAAACCTTTTTTGTTCTATCAAAACTCTCTTGAGGTCTTCTTTTTTGGTGTATTAACCAATCTGTTAGCTAGTTGGTAGAATAAAATATCAAACATCAACATTATACAGAGCTATGATGTTACGCTTATTTCAACATTTTGTGGTAAATTTAGACTACAACACCACTTGAATGATGTATACCTTAAAAATCTAAATTGGTGACCCTATTATTATTATTATTTTACATTATTAAAATAGAAATTTATGTATCAACAACGTATTATTTTTTAAGAAAAATCTATGGATTTGAAATTGAAGATTTGATGACTTCAGCTACTAAGAAATAACATAGTGTTAAACTAAAGGAAAAATCCTGAAAAACAGCTGTCCAACTTTCTAAAATTATACATCAGTGATAGCCTTTTAAGAATTATGGTTGATGGCCTAATGCCATTACCGGTAAAGGATTAGGTTCACGGAGGGTTTATATATTGGCCTTAGATTTGATTTTTTTATTAATCAGGCCAAAATATAACAAATTTCACATAGTAATAGTTGTGATATTACTATTAATATTAAATACCTTTTTTTTTTAGCTCAACTGGCCCAAAGGGCCAAGTGAGATTTTCTCATCACTTGGCGTCCGTCATCCATAGTCTGTTATCAGTCGTAGTCCATTAACTTTTTCAAAAACCTTCTCCTCTGAAACTACAGGACCAATTTCTACCACTGATACTTATATTATTCCCTTGAAGGAGTAAAACGCATGTAATAAAAATTTAATAAAATAAACAATGAATAATTGTCAAAGTCATCTGGAAGAATTACTACCTTACCTTGTGTAAATAATACCTTTATGGTGCCCTGAAATAATATTGATAAGCATGTGACTGCCACTGTAACTAAAAACTGAAAATCTACCAAAAAATTACTAAAAACTGAGCAACAACAGTAGTTTTCCATCTATATTTGAAAACACTGGTCGCTGTACAGTCACAATGTGTTCAACCAATGGAAAAAGAGTAGAACTGATCATGCTAACAGTGGTAAAAACAGCATAAAAGATAAAATAAATAACAGTAAAAAAGAAAATAATATATACAACTGCAGAAAAGATAGAAATACACAACATAAAAGAATTCTAAGAAGACTGCATCAGTAATTGTCTATTCTCCAAACAGTGTAAATTGTTTCTTAAAGTTTTGTTTCTTTATTGTAATGGTTCCTAGATGAATGATACAGTAAGTGCTAACTGTAATGTAGGGAAAGCCCTAATCAGAAGGAATATAAAATATAGAAAAGAAGCTTGGGTTCAAGTTCTGCTAATGGAAATCAATAATTTGCAGATCTAACATTGTTAAGTTGAATTTAAGATGAACTATATAACCTTAGCTTACCTCTTGAGAAAATGTCTGTCGTAAACTTATTATCACTTATTAGACCTATATTCTGTAGTCCATACTCAGTTGACCAATTCGGACCTATTCAGAAAAAGTTAATGTTGACTAACGAACCATGAAGGTTAGGTGAAGTTCAGATTTACCCTGCTTACTATCATTTCATACACCAAAGAATAAAGCTGACCTTATGCTTATAGTTTCAAAGAAAGAAACTTACAGTAATCACAAAAACTTGATGTTGATCACTGTAATATGAAATGAGGTCAATGTCAGGTGAATGATTCTAAATAGCAAATATGCTCGTATTGTGGGTTTTCATGCTATTTAGAATGCATTGTGACATATCAATTTCCATTGAAAAAGCATGCATAGTTCGAATTCAGATGACGTACGAAAACATATGATCTGACGAATTAAATGTTCTGTTACACAGAAACCTGGAAAAATAATGTAATAAAATAAAAAAAAGTTTTAAACATTCACTGGACCATGAAAATGATCTCAAGTGTAAGGTCTGAGACAATTTGAGTTTTTTCTGTCGTCTTTCTTGCTTGTACATAAAAGACTACATCTTCCTTTGAATTCTAATCATTTGACAATGAAATTTCTATCACCAGTCAATTGTTATTTCCAAGATACATCATTTGCACCAAATTTAATTTTTTTAAGGTATTATTTGTGTCAGAATACTGAATGCAACGTGAAAGGACTGATTCGAAACTTGTTCTACAATTAATGCACAGAGAAAGAATAAAACTGTATTGAGGCCAGAGGAAAACATTAAACGAATTTGATAAAATGCAAAGTTAAAATATTGAAAGTATGATTGTAATTGTTGATTTTGAAGCTTATTTGAATCTTCTCTGCTGGGATTCATCTGAGACTACTATAGTTGTCTCAGGATTCATAAGATTTTTTTTTGCTGCTGGTACATTCAAGTGCTGCTGTCACTTGCTTTCATTTCGATTATTCGTATTTTTCCCTCCAAAAAAACAGCATTTAATTGTATAGTGAAAAATTAAAATAAAATTTTATTTAAGAAGTGGCGCAAATGATACAAGGTATTTTTAAAACAAGTGGGGCAAATGAGTTGTAGCGCAAATGGATGCATTTTTGATGCAAACGGATTCCTCCCCTTTTGGTCATATACTATTTATACTGTATTATTAACTAATATTCCTGTTTTAATGTCGATGTACAAATAAATTAACTCAGGTGTGAAAATTTATTGACTGAATAATCAAGCATATTTCAGGTGTGAAAAACTTTTTTTCTGCAAATAAACGTAATATTCTTTAGTAATGTTTGTCTCGCCTTGTACAAAAGCCACAGCATGGAAGACTTAGGGATGGTAATCCAGTTGCTGCAGCAGTGACAGCATTAACTATGTGTATAAAGCTTTATATTTAAGAAGCTAGAAGATCACCTTGTATAGAGATGCCCTATGTGACAAAGTTTCTATCAGTCATATGTTTATTGTCCTTGACCTCATTTTCAGAGTTCAATGTCTGCTTAAAAAACTATTTTATACGCAATAACTCTAATAATTCAAGCCCTTATCGTCTCAGATTCACTCCGCTTTTCGATAGTGAGTGTTATATAACAACAACTGATTATTCAGGTTACTGAGTTATTTGCCGTATGAAGTTTCCCTTTATTATGAGTAATATGATAACTTTATTTGGTATATGTGATCCTTGCAAGGTTTGTATGTCTGTCAGACAAAGTTTACCTGATCTTGACCTCATTTCATGGATCTCATAAAGACGAAGTTAAGTTTCATAGTCAAAAGTTCATGTCTCAGAAACTATAAGCAGTAGGTCAATTTGGTGTATGGAATGACTCCAAGTTGTACATGTCTGTCAGGCAGGGTTCATCTGACCTTGACATCGTTTTCACAATTCAATGTTCAATGTTATTTTTTTCTGGTTCAGTCCATTTCTCAGATACTATGTTTGATGCATGGAATTACCACATGGTATGTGTAAATAAAATTGAGAATGGAAATAGGGAATGTGTCAAAGAGACAACAACCCGACCAAATAGCATAAAACAGCCCAAAGCCACTAAAGGGTCTTCAACACATCGAGAAAATCCCGCACTCTGAGCCGCTCGGAGGCGGGCTTCAGCTGGCCCCAGCTGGCCCCTAAACAAAAATGTACTAGTTCAGTGAAAATGGACATCACACTAAACTCCGAAACATAAAAATGAACTAAAATTAAAAAACCATACAAGACTAACAAAGGCCAGAGGCTCATGACTTGGGACAGGTGCAAAAATGCGGCGAGGTTAAACATGTTTTGTGAGATCTCAACCCTCCCCTTACACCTCTAGCCAATGTAGAATAAACAAACACACAGCAATACGCACAGAAAAACTCGGCTTAAGAGAAGTCCGATTCCGATGTCAGAATAGGTAACAGAAGAAACTAAGCAATATGACAATGATATTAGGGACTACTAGCAGTTACTGACATGCCAGCTCCAGACCTCAATAAAACTGATTGAAAGATTATGTCTTCATTATTTGAAAATCAAGCACAATCCCTCCCGTTAGGGCTTTAGTATCATACCATCATAAAATATATGAGAAGAACATAACCAATATCATGCCAACAACTTGCACTCAGATTTAGGGGGGTTCAGTGTGTCTTTTTGAAATCTCAGTGTGTAATTTTCAAATCTCAGTGTGTAATTTTAAATTCTCAGTGTGTAATTTCATAATCTCAGTGAGTGTTTTTCAGTTATTTCACCTCAGTGTGTCTTTTTGAAATTTCTTTGTGTAATTTTCAAATCTCAGTCTGTAATTTTCAATTCTCAGTGTGTGTTTTTCATTTTTTGTAATCTCAATGCGTTTTTATGAAATCTCAGTGTGTAATTTTTAAGTCTCAGTGTTGGTTTTAGGTTTTTTAAACTCAGTGTGTTTTTTTTTTTAATTCTCAGTGTGTAAATTTTTCGAAAAATGGTTTAAACATAGTTTTGACGAGAACAGCTTGCCATAAATTATAAAATATAAAATACCTACAGGTGAAATGTTTATAAAAATCAATCTCTGTGTCTAAACCAAGTTCATATTTAGACCAATTTAAATTGTTAAACATCCTTGTGAAAGTGGTTTTTTTTTCTTATTTCTCTATTGTTGAAGATTACATTTTATATTAATAACTTTTTAAGGTGGAGGTATAAATGAGATCAATATTTCAAGAATTCTACAACAGTCCAAAGCCAGGAAATTTCACTGTTCAGCTAGAACATCAAGACCGCCTTTGATGCAAATCCAAAAAGCAGGCATACCAATGGGCACTGCATTATTTCCACCAGAATATAGCACAAAAGTAACAGAAGTGGCAACAGTTGAACATTTTATTAGTTTGTCAGATAATTGTTTTATGGATATGGAGTAATCATGTTCTCTAACCTGTCCTATTTGCCATATGAGCTGTTGTCATCATTTTGTGTCTGTTTTTGTGATCTGTTACAAACTTTTTAAAAAATTCTTCTATGAAACTGCTGGAGTAATTTCAACAACACTTGGAATGAATGATCATAAGGATATCTAGTTTACAGTTAGTGATTTATTGTTCTTGCCAATGAACCAACATTACTGACATTGCTAATAAAAAAAACCAGAAGGGTCAAATGCCAACAAAATGTCAAATATCGTGCAAAAGAAATTGTGACAGGAGCCAAGCACTTTAATATTAAACAAAATTATCAGACAACTCAGGTATAATTGTAATAAAATGTTGTTTTTTTTCAATTTGTGTTCTGCTTATTATTCATCAGAGAATGTTAAAACAGCAAAATAGATAAGCATCACACGATCATCAAAAAGAGCCAATAAAACTGAACTCCTCCATTAATTGATTTGTAGGAATAGTTGCCTTTACATGACTATTATTGCGAACCAAATGATACTTTTCCACAGATTCACTTGAAAGTTACCTGTCGATTTAAACTTTTGTAAGTTCTTTTGTCCCATCTAATAAATACAATAGCTATTGTTCTCTGTGTAGTTTATTCAATGGGACCTTTAAATTTCTTCCAAGAGAAATCTATCACTCACTGATTAATTTACCTGAACAAAAGATTTAACTTTCAATGATAAAAATATATGTACCAATACTAAATAATTTAGGACTCGCAAAACTGCATGTGATGTTGTATTTATTCAATATCAATAAAACATTTTCAATTATTTCAATATAAACACTGATTCAAAAATTAAAAGTTGATTTCTGATCAAATTTTCAATATTTTACCTATTAAAATTTGCTTTTTTTCGTGTGTTTGACAAATAAAATCTTGAAAATGATGATGTTTAAATTAAGGCCTTCATAAATGTATTCTATAACTGAACAACCACAAAAAAAAATGCAAATTCCTTGGAACAGTACTAAAAATTTTGTCAGAAATAAACCTTTTTATAATTAAATCAGTGTTTGTATTGAACAGATTGACAATATATTATTGATATTGAATAAATATAACATCACATGCAGTTTTGTGAGTTTATACATGTATTTCAATCAACAAAGAAGATAATTTTTTGATCAGGTAAATTAATCAATGAGTGATAGATTTCTCCTTGAAGAAATTTAAAGGTCCCAGTGAATAAACTACACAGAGAACAATAGCTATTGTATTTATTCAATGGGACAATAGAACAGACAAAAGTTCAAATACCTTTGACCAAGAGAAGATGACTATGTGGAAATATTTCATTTGGTTGGCAATAATGGCCAATTTTATAACTTTTACCTAGCTGATACTTTGAAAATTATTATAGAAAGAAAGTAAATGTAAGCAACAAAAATGAACAGTAATTTTTACAAGATCACTAGAAATGCTAATATGAGCAAAACCATCAGACCATTTCTTCTAGGACTTATTGTCCCTTGAAAACTATAATATATGAACAAGAAGTGTAAACAGCAAAAGACATCAGCAAAACGAAATCTAAAGAAATACCTGTATGACCTAATCCATCAATTGACTCCTTATATGAGTTATTTTCCTGAAATGATGAATTTTGACAAAATTCAGCTCTTTTAACAGTCATCTTTAAGGTAGCATTAGATAGACAGAAACTGCAAACAACAAAAAAGATCATTATTTCATTGGAACATAAAACCTCACTTCAGAACACCATGTGATTCTTGTCTGCCAATAAAAATCATCTAAACTTATGGAACATCTATGTGGTGCTATTTTTACAATATTTGAAAATAAATTGTTTAGTTTTGAAAAAAATGTGATTACCAATAAGGTGAACATAAATTTCTAATGTATATTTTTATCAAGTGAGCAAGTAAGGTTCCTAAGGTTTTGCTGTTCAATTTTTTTTTTAATTTGATCATTTTACAGTGTTATGTTGTACTCAATCTCATTATATTGTTAATAAGCTCTTGCTTTACAGCTTCATATTTCAGAATGCAGAAGAGCTGGATAATCCATATCTGGTATTCATATGCCTTATGGTCTGAAGTTTCCTTCATGCTTATGTCAGTTGTCCTTTTCCTAATTATCATAATTCAGCAACTGCTTAAAAAACTAGTTTAATTATCAAGTGAATTTCTCACTTATTATTAGTAAGATGTAACTTAATCTATAAATGTGTTCAATCATGTATGCCAGACAAGGTTAACCTGACGTTTGGAAAATATGGAAAATATGGAACAAAATACTGAGTCACAGGCAAATGATTGCATGAAATTAAAGACGGATCAGATGGTGAATTTTAAATTTCCTGGTGAAAATGATACAAGAGAAGCAATAATTTTAGGCAGGGCTAGAAAGGCTACAACTGATAAGACACTTTAAAAGGAAAAATTATCATGCTGATTTTTTAATAAAAATGGCCATTGTTGAAGATGCAGGTGAGCGACACAGGCTCTTTAGAGCCTCTAGTTGGTGTATACAATGATTGTAAGAAGGGCATGTCCAACTGACAGGGTTCTACTGACTTTGATTTGATTTCCATAGTTCAGTTCATTTATCAATTTGAAGCTTTTTTGGAAATAAGATCTGTTTCTCAGATACCATAGCAACCGGTCAACTATTTTTGATGTATATGGATTGATTGTAAGGTGTGCATGTCCATCTGGTAGTGTTTATCTAACCTTGACCTCATTTTCCTTGTTGATTAGTCGAGGTTAATTTTATGAGGTTAAGTCAGTTTCGCAATTACTATAATCAACTATGTTCATTATGTTTGGTGTATGGAATGATTGCAAGGTAAGCATGATTGACTGGCATGGTTTATCTGACCTTCACCTGTTTAAATGAATCATTTATAATGTTAAGTTCATGTGATACTTGTAGTTAAACTGTATCATGATCAGGAAGGTATGCCAGGCATTCTAGCATGCCACGGGCATGTACATTCTTGTTTCATTTGGGAAATAGGATATATATAAAAATAATGAGATATGGTATGATTGCCAATGAGACAACTATCCACCAGAGTTCAAATAAAGTAGATGTAAGCAAGTATTATAGGCCACCGTACGACCTTCATTAGTGAGAAATAAACCATACCATATAGTCGGCTATAAAAAGCCCAGACATGAAAAATTGTGACAGACGTGAACCAAATACAACCATTGAACTACTGTCTCCTTACTTGGTACAGGCACATGAAAAATGTGACGGGGTTATACATATTTGTCAGCACTCAACCCTCCCCTAACTTGGCTTGACATAGCACAACAGAAGAACAAACTAAAAATCAGTTGCATTTGGCCTAACTCTAAGGATAGACACAAGGCACAATATAACTAACATTAAAACATAAGACACAAAACACCAAAGTAAGAGTACGTGCATTTACTGAAAGCTAGTTCAAACCCAATTACAACTAATAAATAAATCATGTTCTCCCAGACTAAGGAATCAATCATTAAACATCCAACAGATTTATTGTAAAGACGTCATAAACAGTCTAAGAAACGCATGACCTTGCATGATATGTCCATCTGATAGGGTTCAATTTACCTTGAACTTATTCTCATTGTCCATTTGTCAATGCTATAACTTTTCCAGATGAGGATGAGGTCCTCTTCTCAGATATTTGAATTAGTAGGTCAACTTTATTTGCTGTATGGAATGTTTGTGAAGTGTACATGTTCGTATGCCAGGGTTTAACTGACATTCACCTCGTCTTCTTTTTTCATTTGTTGTGTTAAGTTTTCATTGTTGGGTCCGTTTCATAGATACTAAAAGCAAAAAGTCATCTAAATTAGTGTATCTAATGATTTTGAGGTATACATGCTGGTCTGGCAGGGCTCATCTGACCTCAACCTCATTAGTCCCCTATACTGACGAAGACGAAGTCGAAGGGGACTTCAGTTTGCACTCAGTCTGTCTGTCTGTCTGTCCGTCCTTCCATCCGTCAGTCCAGCAAATTAGTTTTCCACACTATGTTTAGAATTCTGCCTCTTTCGTCGCAGTGGAGACAAAATAAGACAAAGGCCTTCAATCAGAACTATGCACAAAGTTTGTTAGTGTACATAGACCCTACACACAAAACTTAGTGATTTGTGGTGAGCAAAATGTTTGTCATTTTTCAATGCTGCAGAGACATTCGTATCTCATCCAGAGGTGTGTACTGAAGAAAATATCAATCAGCTATGACACGTGTTTGTTTGTTTATGGACCTTGATCAAGGACAAATAGAGGCTAATGAAAAAATATTACATGTTTATTTCTAGTGTGTCTGAAGTAAATCTACATACAGGGAAAAAGGCCCCACAGCTGTAGAATATTTGCCATTAAAGTGTTGGCAAATATGAAGTAATATTGGTTAATGATTAATTTGCATGCAATACTGGGTTCAAACAAGTAATAACATTTTTTGGTGCAACACTTTATTTCAAACAAAGTCATTTCAGTCAACATAAGTCACAAACATTACAACGAATATTCCTCCAGTTGTTCTTCTTGCATCTAATAAGCAATAAAAGTTTATAATATAGATCGTACAGCTTTTCTTTAAAAAAAAAAGAACATTTTATACATGTGATATTGTTATGAAAACATACATTAAAATGTTTTATTTCTTCATTTAAAAAAGATTTTCACTAATTAATATATATCGGTGACATCATAAGTGTAGGTGGATTTTGTTAAAACCTTATTTTTTGCATAATTTGGCAAAATTTATGGCAGTATTCTCAAAAATTTATAGAGGTGCCACCATAATTTGCTGACATATTCATATATATAGTATTCTTTACTTTTTAACCAAAATGTCAATGGGCAAGGAGTGGAGCCACATATAAAATCTAGAAAAAGGTAAAAAAAGGTAAAAAATTTCTAAAAAAAAATGGACTAATATGAAATCTATCGCCATTGCATGCTTATATTTTTATAAATATAAAGTTCATATACAATTATTCTTATCATCCTTTCAAAAATAGTACATTTAGCAATACATTCACATAAGGATTAATTAAACAACTGAATTAAAAAAACATACACCTTTACAGGGCTGTTTATAAGGTTACTGTAGAAATATAATCCAATAGCTATATTTCAGATTACCATTTTGTTTTGCACAGTATATAAAAATAAGACTAATTTTGTTATCATAAAAACTGAATATAGAAAATAAAATGTTCCACTGGGGCACAGCTTGATATGACCACAGAGATCAAACCCTGAACAGTTTGGGCAAGTCTGGACACTACATTCAATAGAAAAACAAAGGATATCGGGTATCTATCCATGACAGCTTGATACAGCTTGACTTTGGATTGT